GTTTTAAAGTCTTTGGCTTTGCACAGCCTGACTTGTGCTCAATGTACTTCTCTTCCTAGTTGAGTTCTCAGCATTAAATGAGTAATTGAACACAGTCGTGCTATTGCTTAGTCAAATTCTGAGCTCAAGCATTACTCCAGGGCAAGTATTCCAGTTTCTAGATCCCTGTTTACTTGCTGCTTTTGAGTATCAGCTTTAATACTGGGGGTGCATTTATAATGCCTGCATTAATTGTTCAGTGATTATGTAGTGTGAGTAGGGCAAGAATCTGTCATCGTTAACTGCAGCATTTTATGGCTTAACTGCTGAGGCTGACAGCCTTGCTGCCCCTTGGTGGCAGTAACCATGGCAAAAGTGAAGCTGCCATCTATTAGTGGCTGTAGTTCAGAGTTTGACAAATTAATTTAAATCTTTCTGGTTTAAGCTAATGCCTCAAAGGTTTAATGAGACCCTGAAGCACATGGGAGTTGTGTTTACTACTTTCACACAGGAAATAAGGGATGAGGAGAAGAATGGTGAACTAGGATGTTCTGAAATTGGGATTCTCTTTCTGCATTAGTTGTCTAGGCAGTGAAAATATATGCAATAAATAAAATACAATAATGTTTGACTTTCTGTAAAAGGCAATAGCCTACATTTTGGTACTTATTAATTATTAATTCAGCTATGGAATAAGGCTGAAATAGCTTTGACTGTATGCTGTGGTTTGTGTCTGCATTTTTTGATGTAGAAGTGGTTCCTCTTCACATACTGAATCTCAAATCTCTGTAGACAAACTCAGTTCTCCAGTAATTCTCCTCAGTGTAACTCTCAGCATAATTGCCCTGAATGTCCTGAACTGCAGTTTCAAGCTGAGTTAGATGGAGTAGCAGTAACGTGCCCTTAGAATGGCAAAGGATGGCTGTACACAGTGATAGCAAATATTAGAAATATTAAACAGTTGGTCAGTTGTTTGTTCCTGTTGTTGGACTGTAATTAAATCCAGGTAATTAAATCACTGAAAAAGTGTGCTACTTTCTTTGCAAGATTTTCTGTGCATCTCTGAGCCTGTTTTTTGTCTTCTCTGAGATCCTTCAGAAGTGTCTCACCCGATATCAGGCCTGCATATGGCTTGGGAACCAGAACACCTCATGACATTCTCACTTGTCAGGCTAAGTAAGGAGTTCTTTTCAGCCTCCCTCTCAAAGGTGTTACAGTAGTAATCATGAAACAGAATCGGCTTTGTTGTTGTTATTTGTTTTTATTTCTTTGAAGGAAACAGTTTACCTACATTTCATAAGTAAGGTTAAAATCTGTCCTCCTGGAGCAATTTGCAGCTTCCTGATGTCAGTTAAAATAGATATATTTTATGTGCTTAACTTTAATATCTTGTAGTCTGTGACCCCTGCAGAAGAATTTTTATTTCACTAATCAGGAAATATTAGGAATTTGTTACGGGGAGAAAACGTAGTGGTATCTAACTGCATGAAAATAACACGTGGACTGTGATTTAGCAGGTTGTTGATACTCCTCTGAGTCATTGACCTAGAAAGCAATGGAACTTAAATGGAATGTGATTTTATACACCACAGGTCAGAGCAGAGGAGGTACTTTTTTGTTCAGTTTGCAAAACTGAATGGTACCTTGAAATGTTATAAATATGAAATGTGTGAAATAAGTACATAATTCCTTGCAAAGCAGGGAAACAAAAACTGGTAGGAAACTTCCTCAGTGTAGTTTCTAAGGATGGACTGTACAAAATAAAACTACAAGTTTTATTTTAGAATAAAGTTTTCAGAAATTTTGTAGAAGCAGCATGGTAAGGTGTCCGCAATTAACTGAGCTTATTAATGGTGTATAAGTGAGAGGGGATGTAAAGAATAAATTATTAAAGAGGAAGTATCGGCTAGGATATCTCTTTTTGTCTGAGGTGTTATGATAATGGAGAGTAAGTTTCTTGAATACTTTGGGAACCACCACTCAAATGATACATATAGTTACTGTGTGAATTAAGGATGTGATAATCCTTTAAGAGTCCTCAAAAGCTGAGTTGTTTTGAATGTGTGTGAGCCACCTTCTCTGCTCTGCGTCGAACTCGTTGTTAATATGAGGAACAAAAAGGCTGGGACTTTCCTCTGAAGCGAGGTGTGATTTATGAAAGCCGGTATAATTAGGCCAGTACATGCTGCCCTTTTTTCCGGCAGTACCGGCTGAAGCACCTCCTCGTGTAACTTGCGTCAGCTCTCGAAACTGGTTTGCGGTGACTAAACAAACGCCTGAGCCGCTCCAAGTGAAGAGGTGGTGGAGCAGCTCGGCAGCGAGCGCTGGGAAGGGAAGGATTCATCCCTGCTCCGAGAGCTGGCACTGCTGCCCGAGCCTGGGCTGCGCTGAGAAGCAGGAAGGACAAATGGTGCTGGTTTCGCAGCCGGCGCTGTGTGACACAGCTGCTGTGGCAAAGGCGTTGGTTCGGGAGTTGGAGAGCCCGCCGAGGGTACTGCATAATTAGTAGTGCATAATTAGTAGTGCATCGCATACCAGTGTACGGCCAGGAGAGCCAGTTCACGTATGGACACGTTTGGTTTAGGGCTTGCGCTTGATTTTGTTTCCTAAAGATAACTTTGGTAATTATGCAAAAGTGATGGAGGGACTGACCTTTGAGAAAGATCACTTGAACTGGTGAAAACTGGTATGGAAGTAACATTTGAATTCGCTGTGTGGAAGGGACCAGCTCAGAGGGTTGCTGAGCAGTGGCTCCATTAAAGAGAACCAAATCTTTTATACCAGGACTTGAAGTCAGTGCATTTCCCCTTCCTTAGACATCAGCTATTAACATGTGGCTGCTATTACTTATTTCTTTACTAGATGCAGGAAGAAGAGTATTTACAAACAGAATGAAAAGACTTGAAGATTATCACTTTCCTAAAATGTACATAATGCAGTTCAGTAGTATGCACTTACTGGATACCAGTTATATAATATGACATGTAATTTGTATTTTCTGTGGCCATTTGTTTATGAATTTCATTTTGCAGTTTGAATCTTGTGTCTGCTCCTATTTTGTGAATTTTGTGTGGCAGATGCTGTGTTTCGCTTCTTTTCCTGTGGTCCCTCTCCCGTATTTCCTTGTGCTGTCTCGCCTGTGCCCTGTTTGCAGATTCTGCAGAAGTGTGTTTGCAAGGGGCAGTGACTAATCAAAAAGTTGGGAGGGATAAAAGACAGGTATTATGCATAGGGAAGAAAAGGGTGGGGAAAAGTAAATAAGCACAGTATTTGTTTCTCCTTGCCTGTGACTCACTTTTTCATAACAGAAGAATTTTCAAATGAAGCAGAAGGCTAATTGAAAACAAACAGGAAGCAGAAAATAATTATCTGTGCACTGAATCATGAGAGGGTTCAGTCCTTTCAGACTATTAAATTAACAAGCTAATTAATTTGATTGGCTTTTAAATGTATAACTGTTATAAAAGCTATATTATATACTATTATATTAATAGATAGTATTTCATAATATGGAGAGTATTACTTAGAGTAGGGTGGGTCTGATTATTAATGCAGTGAATACAGTCATAATTTGTTATCCTTAATTTGTGTTTACCTTCATCTTTATTTTCTCTTCCTTCAATTTAAGATCTAAAGCATATCTGTTGAGGTAAAAAAAAAAGTCTTTCACATACTGCTTTTCATTCTGTCACTTCATACACCTGTCTGAGCTTTCCTGTGCTGGCATTCCCCTTGATTACTGCACTGAGTCCCATGTCCTGGACAGAATGCAATTCAAGCTCTCCAGTTAGGGCTGCTGCTTTATGCTACTTGGGGTAAGCATATAAGATGTCTCACATACTTGGTGTCATTTTCCAGTATAAGATCTGAAGAGCCCTGGTGCTGGGCTCTCACTGCATTCTAAACCCACCTTTTCCCTCGACACTATGGTTTTGAGTTATGTATCACTTTTTTTTGAGGAGTGCAATAATAGGGGCAAATAAAAGCATGTCAAATTCTGCATGGAATCCTGAAAAAAAAAGGAGTCAATTGCTTCTGTAAGTAAAACATGGGAATACATTCATTTCTCTGAAGGCAATATCTTCCCCCAGCCTTATGCCTGCTTTGGGTCTTGATGAGATCCTTTATGAGTGCAGGAAGCCAGGGATTTCTACCATCCCACCAAGTTTCTGTAGTAACTGTTGTCAGCTTGAACTGCTGTGACTGACTCATTTCAGTAGTTACACCTGGCTAGTTCGTAACATCCCAGTCCCCTCTTTGATGCCCTCTGCTCATGAGGTCTTAGCCAGAGACTCCAGTCTCCTGCCAGGTGACTCATTTGTAGCCTGTTCTCAGATGCAGCAGTTTTGACTACAAGTCTTGTGTCATAAGCAGTTTCAGATTCAATAAGTTGCTATTAACATTTAATTAACTCTACAAATGGATATTTACAAAGGCACTTGATGCAGCAATCTTGAGATTAACTTAGTGGCATGAACTAGTGTTGGCTGAGAGGTAAAAGCAGCCTGTTGTTTTCCCTTAGTTTCACCATGGTCTTAGGATTCCTGAATTCTGTCTTCTGATAAAACTTTTCCTTATGTCCTCAGTGCTAAACTTCCCTACAACAAGTTTGTCGTGGAACACTGTTACCTTAAATGTATGAGCAGTTAGAATTTTTGTGTGTTGACCAACATAAATATAAATTCTTACATATATGTGACAAAAGGTATTGTCGCTAATGGTGTCTGTTCCTTTCTGTGCAGGCAGTTGTTCAAGTCTAGTTTGTAGCAATTATTTCCATAATGTATTTACTAGAATTCAATCGTATGTTAAACAGCTAAAAATCAAATACAAATATTTCTTGATAATGGGAAGGTGTTGCATCCTGAGGAGGGTGTTTTGAGTTTGACACATTGATTCTCTTCTATACTGGGAGATCAGGTTATATTTTCTAGCAAATAAAATTCTACTTGAGCTTATGTTTCATCATAGTTGTCTTATTTTCACAGATATTTTACTATTCTTTTTGTTTGTTTCTACAGTTCTACCTTCAAGACACTAAAAGTAGTAATGGTACCTTTATTAATAGTCAGAGACTGAGTAGAGGATCTGAGGAAAGCCCACCATGTGAAATAATGTCAGGTGACATCATCCAGTTTGGTGTAGATGTGACGGAGAACACGCGGAAAGGTAAGGGTATGGATCATTTTCTGTTTTTTCAAGTGTGTTTATTTAGAACATCTTATTGCAATTCAGTGTTTAAAAGTAAATAGTATTCCCATTGTAACCCCTCCAAAGCCCAACAAACCAATCCATACAACAACAGTAGAATTTTTTTAAGGGCATTAAGTGAACAAAACAAGAAGAGAGTGCCTGCTCCATCTGTTACTCATGAGTTTGTCTTTAGCCAAGTAGGTTATAGTTCTCAACTCTGAAGTATCAGAGGAAGGTTAATGAAGGTTAAAGAAAACATTGTTAAGCAATGGTCATGGTGAAATGTTTTGTCATGGAGAGCTTCTGGAGCTGTAGTATTTTTGAGTGATTCATTGTAGTGAAGGTCTCATCACGTTGTTTCACTTTTCTCAAAGATGATGTTGCAAAGATTCAACTCCAGGATGTCAAGTTGAAATTGTCTGGGAGTTACTTAAAATGTTTCCATGAGAAGTGATTGCAAATATTTATGAATACTAGCAGTACACATGGAAGAAATCAAAGGAATACATTGCATCTGATGAACCTGGAACTGTTAATTTGATGAGATGCTGCCCTCACTCAGAGAAGCCGAATTTGTTCAAGTGTATTTAGACTAAAACAATTTTAATTATAAGATTTAGTTGGAAGAAAAATTAGATTTTACTTGTTTTTATCAGCAATTATTTGCAGTTAGTTTATGGGAAAGTTTGTGGAAAGTTCATGGTAAGCAAAATCCTTGCCATGAATTCTTGCCAGTAGTAGTTCTTTCCAGTGGTTTTACAAAACACCATCCCAGTGACCTGTCATTTGTGTAATGAGTGATCAGATTGTGCAGCCTTCCTTGTCCTTTTCTCAAGCTTTGAACATGGGAGCTGTCTCATGTTACTGATGAATGTGAGCTTGCTAATGAGGAAGAGCATACAGGTTTGCTTTCCTCGCTCTCTGTGCTCCCCCAAGCAGTGAAGGGAGATCATATCATCATGCTGAGGCACAAAACAGCTGCATCACAGTTTGGGTGTTTACCCATGAATGCCACTGGAATGCATATAGACACAGTTTTTTCACCAGTTCATTTCAGGAGTCTTAGATGTTCCTGTTAATCTAATCTAGTCATGAAACAGACACGAAAGTAGTTTTTAAATTAGTGATTCCCTTTAAAACCACTTTGCATTTTGTTATTTACATAATGCCTTACTTGCACAAGACATTTCAGCATTCTGCTGGGTGTAATTATAAGGTAATGACAGGATAGGCAGAGTGTACTTGTCTATGTAAATTCTGAATTGTGTCAATATTGCTAGAATACATTTATTTTATTGCTCAGGCTCTATCTTAGTAAATAATTTCCTTGCAAATGTGATCTGGATTTGGTTCATTAAAGTAGTGGCATGTTCAGTATGTGATTTTTCAGGTTATCAGGTATGAGCACTGATTCCTCAGCTTCCTGCTGTGCAGCCAAAGTCAATAGCGGGCCCTGGAGAAGTGTTTCCATGCCTCCTGCTTCCTTATTTGTCCACTTGCTGTATTACTGACAAGCACAGAGGCCTGGCCATTTCCCTCTCCTTAAAACAGCACTTAGCTATTACCATCTTGCTGCACTTTTCTCTGTGTTAGTGTGGTTTATACTCTTTTAACACTTGTTAATTTTTCCAGTCAGCACCAGAGCACTCCAAGAGTTAACTGGTGGTATTTCCCTGCCTGGAAAGGAGGAGCAGCCTTGCAAAGCAGGGTCAAATAATACCAGATGATTTAGTTCAAATACAGTTTATGTACTTTTTTCTAGTCAGGTTTGGACTCTTTCGAACATCTCTTCTATCATGGGGTGTTTGAGGGAGCCTGTGCAGTGAGGAGCCCAGTGAGTTCTGTGGGGTGGTGCACAGACCCTCAGGGGTGTGAGGGGCTCCTCGGGGCTCGATAGTGGCTACCAAGGCTGCTGTTATCGCACTAATGAGGGAAGAGTAAACCCAGACCGTCACTTGTGAATTCTTTCTCTAGGAAGCAAAAATTGAGACAAACAGAAATGTTTTCTATGTTCCCACTGTGCTCCCTGTGCAGCATAATCCATTGGGGTTCAAGGCAGCTCTTGGAAGGGTTTGGAGTGGTGAGGTGAAGTGTGAGGCAGCACCATGTTTCGGAGGGGTGCAGAGCTCATGACTGGAGTGTGGTACAGCAAATTGAGCAAGAGCAGGGTTTAAGTCTGTGGTGGGAGTGGGGCAGGGTGTCACTCCATGGTGGGAGCTGTGGATGTGGGGCAGGTGTTTCAATCTGTGGGGAGTGGGATGGGGTTCACTCCATGGCCGTGGGATGGGGTTCACTCCATGGCCGTGGGATGGGGTTCACTCCATGGCTGTGGGATGGGGTTCACTCCATGGCTGTGGGATGGGGGTCACTCCATGGCCGTGGGATGGGGGTCACTCCATGGCTGTGGGCCAGGGGTCACTCCATGGCCGGATGTCACTCCATGGCCATAAGTCACTCACTCCATGGCTGTGGGCCGAGGGTCACTCCATGGCTGTGGTGCGGTGGTGTCACTGTGGGCCGGGGGTCACTCCATGGCTGTGTTCCGGGGGTGTCCCTGTGTTCCGGGGGTGTCCCTGTGTTCCGGGGGTGTCCCTGTGTTTCCGGGGGTGTCCCCGTGTTCCGGGGGTGTCCCCGTGTTCCGGGGGTGTCCCTGTGTTCCGGGGGTGTCCCTGTGTTCGGGGGTGTCCCTGTGTTCCGGGGTTTCCCGCCCTGGGCGGTTCTCGGGGAGGCGCCGCCGGGCCCCGCGTGTCCGGCGCTGTGGCGCCCCCTGGCGGCGGCGCGGCCGCTGTGCCGGTGGCGGGCGGGAGCGGCGGCCCCGCGGAGCGCCCGAGGTGAGCGGGAGCGGGAGCGGGATCGGGAGCGGGGAGCGGGGGTGGCTCAGTCCCGTGGGGAAACCAGAGCTTGCTTCGCTGCCTTGGCTTGGCATAGACCTCAATTTAAACGGTTGCTGCTGTCCTGTGCAGTCAGCGCTGTAGTCATGTTTTCTGTGTCGCTTTCCCTTTCCCTTAGGCTTTCTTATTATTTTTGCAATTACAATTAACTGATAGCTAAAGGTCGGACTGCGGGGTTTGGGTCGGTTTTTTCTTTCTTATTGTTTTTATTTTATGAACTTATCAAAATGCTTGGTACCTTTTCCCAGTCAGTGTCTTTTGCTAAATGCTCTTTATATCGTAATATTTTACACAAATAAAGCTCCTGCAGCTTTTAGGGGATTTTTTTTTTTCCTGTCTGGGTGTTGACAGAAAAACTTCACAATTATGTAATCTCACATTAGACCTACCTGAAATGTGACCCAAAGGTAAAGGTGTCTGTTGGTATTTAATTTCAGATACCCTAATGTTTTCTTATTGAAATCACTAATTTCCTCTTGAAGATTCTTCATTATGAAAGCTATGTATTACAGGCTACAGCCTGTAATATGTAATATTAGCTACAGCTAATATTACTTTATATAATGTAATTTTTAAATGTTTTTGCAAGAATGGATTTGTTCCATTATAAATAAAGAGCCCAAACCTTGCAGATTAATCTATTTTGCCCTGGCATATAAGTGTTATACTTTACCAGATCAGCTTGAAAAAACAAGGTGCTGTAGCCAGGAGGATGTGTCTCCAAAGCATTAGCTTTTAGCTTTGGATAAAGGTTAAAAACAACTCGGCTTAGTTGGATCATTTCTCCTGTATTTTTAGATTCTATTGAGGTAGCTTCCTCAAAGACTTGTCTCATTTCCCCAGAGTATTACCGATGTCCTAAAATGCCCATTGCCCTTTTTTTCAAAGCTAGATTAACTGTTTTGCTGATATTAATAACTGTGAAAGTAGAGCAGCTATTTTGTACGTTGATGGGTGCTTGAGGTATAGTAGTATATGATAGGTGACCACATACTCATTTGTACCTCTCTTGTGGTGGTATTTTGGGTACAGTGTATCTTTCCATGTATCCAGAAATAATTTTTACTTCCCAATTCATAGAACCATACAAGGAAAAAACCAACTAAAACTCAGACATAATTTAACTGTTTGCAAAGACATTGAAACTGGTATCAGTAACATATTCAGGAAACATTGTGAAGAAAGCTTGATGTAGAAATCAAACATTGCATTTCCTCCTCTTATTCCTTAGGATCTCTCTGGAGTTCAAAGAATCTTGAATTTAGTCCTTGAGAAACAAGTTTTCCTCTTCTGAAATGAGAGGCCATCTAGGGCTGTGCATTAGATGTGCACAAGCATCCCAAAATAGAGATGTTTTGTCTTGAATAATGCTGCTTATGGTGTTAGAGAGGATGTACTTCTCAGTGGTTCCTACACACTTCCTCTGCATTTCCTTTTTGATCCTTGTTTGTAAATAACAACTACTTGGCAAGTTCCAGATGTTGAAGTGAGTGTCAATGACACAAGTTGAGTGTGTTGCCTTTTGTCCCTGGATGTGCTTGTAGGAATCTTGTCAAAAAGGTGGCTCGTTATGTTGTTTATACCTCTGCATTCCCATTGCCTAGCTCAGGTAAGATGCATTCCTCCTTCCTCATTTTAGGTTCAAACCACACCAATAACTTTTTAAATGACTATAGAAAAGACAGGTTTCAGGTATTTCTTCTGCACGTGGAAGAATTGGAACTGCTCCACAGCCAGGACTAAGTACGCAGCAGAGCCCCTTGGAGTTTGTAACGCTGAAGTTTCCTGTCTCCAGAGGAGACTCAGGAAGGCAAACCCAGGCATTGGTGCTTGAAGGTGTTCGTGCCTCTTCTTCTTTGCCTGTCTCAGGGTTTCTTAAGATGGTTTGATTGTTACTATAACATTAACCATTGAATTTACAATTCAATAGTAGTGAATCATGATGACTTAGTATTTGTTTCTTTCCAGTTACCCATGGATGTATAGTCTCCACAATCAAACTGTTCCTTCCAGATGGAATGGAAGCTCGATTGCGATCAGAGTAAGAATAAATATTCATGTATAGCAAAACTCAACTACTGTATAATGAGGATTTGATTGATATTATGTTTAAAATCAGTGTAGGAACAGTTTATTTTCCCGTGACTGTGCAAAGAAAGTGCAAGGAGAGCATGGTTCTTTTGCAGGCATTGTGAAAAAGAAATCTCATGATTGTAGCTTTTAGAAATTAACTATGAAGAATAAAAAGGTTTTCTAAAAGAAGAAACAATTTCTTATGAAGTTGAGCTTTTCTGACTGTTTGTGGTTTGGTCTGCTGAAATGGGTATTAGAAGCAGAAAAATATAGGAAAAAAGAAAGCAAATGAGAAAATTCTCCTTCCCTCTTTCTTTAGTTGGGATTATTATTTTTGCTCCTTTAAATGCACATAAACTCTACTAAAGTGAAGTTCATGGAAACTCAGCTGAATATTGACAGGGTTTCCTGTGCATGTGAGCACACTTCGAAGAAATTTGCACAGAGTAGTAGAAACCAAAACCTTAAACTTTTTGTTTGCTCTGAGTGCCAATTACAAATGACATAATTTTAATCATCTTTCATTATCAACAATTGTATGTTTTATATTGCTTATTTAAATATTCTTTTATCATTACTATCCAGAAACACTTGCATGAAGCTTTAGGGTGTCTTGTCTTCTGGGAAGATAAGTAAAAATAAATTGTTATGGGAAAATTTCCATATAATTTCATGTCCTAATAAGTAATAGTAGAAATGTAGAGTGTTAAACTTTTAGTTCTTCTGAAAATGTGCAAGTATAACATTTACTCTAGTGAAAATGTACAAAATTCTGTTAATTTACCAAATATTATTTTACTCAGTTTGTTGAATTTGTAAATGAGAATAGTATATCCACTCCTTTAATATTTATTGTTTCGTGTAAATTGGTTTAAATCCTAATAAACTAATTTTTAAAGAATCAATTTATGTGAATACTGAAATAAAAGTTGGTAAAGAGAGCTTATAGAATAGCTCCTGTATTTATAATTTGATGTAGTTCTGTAACTTTGAAAAAGCCTCACAGCACAGTATTAACTGGTTTTACATGTTTGTGTATTAACTCTTCAACTTTATCTGAAGAGCGAACTTAAAAATACAAAGCATCTTGATTAAATGCACAGAACTAGTGATCTCCTGGATTTTTGAACTGCTATTCTGCACTTTGTGTTCACTTTCTTTATTTTTTTTTAGTGTTATCCATGCTCCATTACCAAGTCCTGTTGACAAGGTAATTCAGTAATTTACTGGTTTATGCCTTATTCAGCCACATGCTGTTTTCAGACTTGTTATAAAGATGAAGAAGTGGTGGAGTCTGTCCAGTTACATTTAGATATGTTTTCTACTGTCTGCTTTTACCTAGTTTAATATAGGTAGAGAAGTAGTGCAGTCTTACAGTGGAAGGTAGTTTGACTTTTTACATTATGGCACCGGAAACATGTCTTTGGAACAAAACTACTGAGTTAAGATAATTAATTTCCAGGTACAGATTGACAGACCAACAGGTTTGCTTAATTTAATGTTTCATCTGTTCTGTGGGACCCAAGAGCAGCTTATGATTTGGTGTTTAGATGAGCTCTGTTGTCTTTGTATCATGTTTTTATGGAGGAGAAGCTGCACTGCAGCGTCTGCAAAGTGGTCTGTCGTGATCTGAAGGAGGATTGAGACCAGACCTCTCTGCTTCTCTTGTGTAGCCAGAATCGCTCACTGTAGAGTCTTGGAATCAGTATTGTCAAGTGTAATTCTGAAACTCAGTTTTGGTAATGTGGGGGATTTGTAGAAAAGCTGTTAATAGATATATCCTTGAGAAAAGTGATCAGGAATTTTTTCTCAAGCTTCTAAAAAGAAAGATTAACTTAAGTAGATTTGAATCAGAGAACCTATACCTGAAGAACAAAATATCAAGGAGCTGTGGAAGCTTACTTGTGAAGTCAGCAGCCCAAGGAGTTTATAATAAGACTGTGCTTAAGTTGGTTTCAAAACCGTGTATGTGGCTTGAATCCAGGGGGAAGGGTGGAAATTCTGAGGAGGGACTTCAGGTATAACTGAAAACAGTTAAAAGCCTGCAAGATTTAGAAAATAAATATATTCCACTGTCAAAAAACTCTGCAAAACAACCCAAACAGTTTCAGTTATGATTAAAAATAGTACAGATATTCCTGAAATCTGAAATAGATACTTATAAAGGGGGATGATAAAGGGGTAGCTCAACAGGAAACGTGTGATTGTAACGTGTGTGCGATGACATTGAATTGGAAGCCCACAGTTTGTGTTTGTCCTTGGGTTGAATGGCTTCACTTTTGTGCCCCTCGGGTTTTTTTGTCAGTTGAATCTCAATTGTAACAATAGCCCTAAACTCACTGGTGTGTTGGTGGTTCAAGAACTTGTGAAGACATAAACACAGTGGGACCTCAGTCCAGAGTTGGGAAGTTCTATGATAAAACAAAGCATAAATAGTAATGGAACAATAAATGAATGAAAATGCTATTATTAGATAATTGTAAGTTTGCCTTCATGGCTAGATTTAAATGAATTTTGCATTATTTGACTTTAATGAGAAATCCAAACCCATTCTGATTCTTACTTACCTTCTTTTTCAGGTTGCTGCTAACACTCCCAGTATGTATTCTCAGGAATTGTTTCAGCTTTCACAGTATCTACAAGTAGGTTTTCTTTTAAAGGCATTTTGTTTAATTGTTGTTCAAGACAAACCTTATGCTTTATCTTTGGGCCTGTGTTTTGTAAACAAGAACACCATAAACCTTTTCTGTAGTGAAACAATGTAAAACAATGTAATTGCACATGGTGTGGTTTTGTGTAAACCTTCAGGGTTTTGCATGAGCAGTATAAACTATGTCTTTTTTAGAGGAAACATGGAAGTTTCCTATATAGAAACTTCATGAATGCTGTGTACTTGCTTTTCCTGGCCTTTCTGTTCTCCTACCCTGCTGTCCCCAATTTTCCTTTGCTCATGATATTTTTGTTATCATCCGTTGCTGTGGATGTGTAGAAAAGTCATAGTAACACAAGAAAGGCAACACAAGAGGTCATTTCATGTGTCAAGAACTAGTTTGTTTCTGGGAATGTAAACTCAGTGTGAATATTTCTGACCCCGTGTCCATTGGAAACAGTGCTGGCAGCTCTTCTTCCTCGTTGGCATCACCAGCCTTTCTGTGCCTGCTTCTGTGCCAGTTTTAGTAGGTGTGTTTTTTCCCCCAAAAGATGTCATGTCACAAAAGGGTTAGACTGCAAAATGGCAACACATTAAAGGGTGTGCTAATAGATATAAGTACACAATTTAGAAAGGATCACAAAATCAGCTTTCTGCAAAAGATAAGAAATCATTTTTACTGGTAAATTCTGTCTAGGTTTAATTTATATGTAGTTCTACTGATTTATTTTGCCTGGTTTTGTTAGATAAGGGAAATTTTTATTTGTTCACATAAATGCTGAGGCTTTTGAGATAGATACTGTCTTTATATGTATTTGCTGACATAGCAGGAAGCAGCTCAGGCAGATGCTCTTTCTTGAGAAGCCAAATACATACTCACTCCCCAATCTGTTCACTCTCCATATCCTGGAATTGTTAACGAAGATGCTCTTCTATCTCACTGACATAAACCAAAAATCAAACAGAAATAGTAGTTCTTGCTTGGCATTTTTCTTTTGCGACCTGATTTGAGGATGAGCAGCTCATTCCACGGGAACTGCCAAGCTGCCTTTTGGTGTCTGCAGTTTTGTTACTCAAATTATTGACAAAAGACAAAGTGTTTTCAAGTCTTGGAAGGAACAACCATGTGTCCTCAGCATGTGCACCAGATGCATGAAAAAAATGAAGGTTTTCAGGAACCTGAGGTTACAGGATATCATTTTCTAATTAGACTATCCAAATAAATGTGTGGATGGATAAAATGGAATGGGGTTATTATGGTTTTGAATATATGACAGTGCTTGTCACATTTCCTTTCTTTTCCTTGTATTTTGTGATCTCTTCTGTTGCTTCTGATTTTCTGAGTTGTTCTAGCTGAACTGACTGGTGCCCTGCTCTCTTCCCAGGAAGCCTTACATCGGGAACAAATGTTGGAACAGAAGCTGGCAACCCTTCAGCGATTACTTGCTGTCACACAAGAGGCTTCAGATACTAGTTGGCAGGTATCTGCAGGCATCCTTTTCCTATGATGCAGTAACATATAAATTTTTAGCTACCAATTTACAAACAATGGGGTGGGAAAGCAGGAGAAATAATAAAAACTCTATGGTGGTTCTCTAAAACTGTGAAAAAGATAATGTTTAATAAATTTAGTGATTATGTGCCAGTTTGAAATAGCTATTAGTAGTGAATACTCCAACAGAATTCAGGTCTTTAAAGCAGAACTCTACTGGCACTACATAAAGCACATATTAATACCAAGGTGATGCTTCTTTTCTGCTAGGCTTTAATAGATGAAGACAGGCTGCTATCAAGACTAGAGGTTATGGGAAATCAATTACAGGCTTGTTCAAAGGTAAGTAGTTCATCTAAAGTTAAATGTTAGTAATTCTGAAAGATACCTCTTTTGGAGTGTTTTTTGAAATTAGTTGGTTGTAGGAAAGCAATTGGAACATAAACTTTCTAAAATGAACCTGTGCAGTTTTGATAATCTGAGTAGCTCTGTTCTGTATTTCATGGAATCTGAATCAGTGGCCATTGTTTTCATTGTCCATGTACTGTCTGATATTCAGAGAAACAAATATGCACTGCCTTGATTGTTGTTTAAGCCACTTATGCCTGCCTTGAATTTTAATTTTTATTTTGTTTCTATTTCCTCTCAACTACCTACGTTATAAGAAAGGCCTCCTACGCTTGACATTGTCATAGTAGTGTCCAATAAAAGCCCCATCATTTTCCTGTAATCAAATGTGACCACTGAATGTGTGCTGCTATACATACACTTAAAAAAAATGGTTTACACCCAGTTATGTCAAGCATCTTTGATCACTGATTTGTAGACAGCATATTCCCATCTATCAGAAATTGCTACCTACTTTTAATACACCAGGCTTTACCATGGTCTCTATTATATTTAACCAGCAAAATACTAATTTACATTCTATCTTTGAATTGTTTTGCATTTCCAGAATCAAACAGAAGACAGTATACGAAAAGAGCTTATAGCATTACAGGAAGACAAACACAACTATGAGACAACAGCCAAAGAGTCCCTGAGGCGGGTCCTTCAGGAGAAAATCGAAGTGGTCAGAAAATTGTCTGAAGTGGAGGTATGGAAGTTTCATTTCCAGTCTTTTGGAAATGCTGAAATAGTTGTAACTGCTGCTACTTAAATCCCTGTTTTGTTGCCTAATGTGTAGTATGCCAGAACCTATTGTACCCTGACACTTGCAGGGTGTTAAGTAGTACTGTTTATTTCTCCTGTTGGACAATACTAAAATTGTTAAAACAGTTAGAGAAGCTATTATTGCAGCTCCTCCCTTTTCTGCCAGGTTTCAAAATTCGTGAAGCTGTCTTACAGAAGTTAGTATGTGTGGGAGACAAGTGAGGGGTAAACAACATACATGCTTTAAAAAAATGCTGTAAGACCTTGTTTAAACTGTAAAATTTATGGAAACATACACTTAACTACTTGTACAAAGTACACTTAAGAATGAGCTTTTATGATTCAAAGTGATGGACACTTTCTTCAAATAAGATTTCTGCCCCTGTAATGTCTTTCATCACTATCTTTTCCTTTATTTTCTTTTTCCTTTATCATTATTTGCTATGTTCTCTTAGATCAAGAAGTCTCATAGGACTTAAGTGCACAAAGTCTCTATTCTCTTCATGGTTTTTAGAGAATGCAATGCTGTAATAAATAACCTTAGGAGATTTTACTTAAATACACCTCCTTATGTTGTAATAGTTCTTGGCAGGTTTGTTAATGACTGGAGTTTATGTTTACTTCTAGCTTTCTTCTCCTTTCCTATCCTATCCTAAGAGAAGAATGTGCTGACATTTATTCTACTTGTTCCTCTTTACTTTGACTTATGAGGGAGAAATAATAATTTAACTTCAGTAAGAGGTTTGCTTGAGTGCTTCCTGCCACATACTTATCTCTCCACACAGAAAAGTCATTGGCTCCTGGTTGAGAGTTTTTCTTTAATGATTATTATGTAATGTAGTTTTTCATGCACTTTTGTTTAAAGGTGTTTTGGTTGTGAAGGAGAACTAGGTCAGAGCTTGTTAACTCCCCAAAAAACCCTAAACCCAAAGACCAAAAATGAGTTGATGATCAAAGAAACAAACCTTGAGCTGTGAGGAGGCAACTCTCTACACCGTTTAGTTGTGCTGCTGTCACCGAACTTCAGGAGCATTCCTTGCCTCCTGGAGACCCGGCTGCCTCTTGAGCAAGGGGACCTTAGTTTAGATGCTTTTCCACATTATGAAGTACAAAAAAAGATTTAGAATGCTTCCTTGGAGCCATTTGGCTGTTATAATGTCTTAAATCATCTTTTGCTGGGTGAAAGGTATGATGAAATCTGTTGATTACATTGAATTAAATATTATAGAACTTTCACAGTTTATCATACAAGGGAAGAGAATGGTGGAGAGGGACCACACTTTTCAATTCTTGATTCACAATTATATAGCCCACTGTGAGGTATTTGGTTTGGGGTTTTTTTTCCCACATACGTAAACCAATTTGTTTTTCGCATAATCTGTTCTTTAAGTAGAGCATTAGAGGTTTGTGTAGATCTTGTTTTTGCCAAGACCTGATCTGTCTGTTTAGCCTTAATGACTAGGAACAAAGCAGCTAAACATGCTTAGTTACATATACCGTTTGGAAAAAGTAGATAATTTTTAGTGTTTGCTAGTTTATTGTGTCTTTTTTATTATTTATTGCATAATAATTCTGTGTTACAGCGGAGTTTAAGTAATACAGAAGATGAATGTACACACCTGAAAGAAATGAATGAGCGGACTCAGGAAGAATTAAGGGAATTAGCTAATAAATACAATGGAGCTGTAAATGAAATTAAGGATCTTTCTGACAAACTAAAGGTAACGACAGAACTTAATCTGATATATGATGAAACTGTGATGAATGCAACAAATACAATTTCATTTCTAATGTAGTAATCAAAAAAGGTTAAGAAGCTTTTTAAACAACAGGTTAATGATAGAAAGATGCATATCATCTTTTACATATTCTTTTGGTTTGATTTTAATGTACTTGAAGCTGTCATAAGTTAAGTCACTTGCTAAAAAGGTTTCTTTTCTGTTCATTTTGAAAGTTACCAAATTTTTGAAGCCAAAATATATTTTAAGATAAAATTATGTAAGGTGTAAAACTTCACATTCAGCTGCTTTTGTATAGACAAATAACTTTCAACTTAAACATCTTACATTGGAAACTAGAATTAGAAATAAATTTGCAATTTGTGTTGCCTCTTTGTGCAGTTCCAAACATAACTAGCCCACCACGTAGTAATAATATGGCTCAGCTGCCAGGGGATAGGAACATGCTGTTAGGTTTGTAATTAAACTACATGTCTATGTATATAATTAAAGGTCCTTTATGCTGGAGAACAGAATAAACACTTCATGATAAATTCTGTTCCTCAAGAGTTTCCAATCTAGATAAGTAGAAGCTGTGGAGGAGGAAGGTAGTGGTGCTGTCTGTGGAGAGATGAGATACTTGTTGCATTTGTCTGGGATAAATACTCTTGGGTTCTTTGAGTCCTAATTCAACATCTCAGACAGAAGATTTTTCTTTCCAAATTAAAAGGTTCAGTTGCTGGTCTTAGAGCAGTTATGAGTTAAAGATGATGCTGAGTATACACAGAAGGGTCAAAACTGAAACTTATTGCTCAGCTTTGAGGGAGAAGAGTCTTTGAAACTTACCATGAGATCCAGCAAGGAAAAAGATGTGCTTCAATCAAGTTGGTCTGTGCAGTCAGTGTGCATTCAGTTCAAAAGGCCTCTTGAGTTGTGATTGATTTGAGATGCTGGGAGACTTCAGGTGTTTCTTAGTTCTTGGACCCAGCTACTGTAAAATTTATGTTCCTTGGACAAAAAGTTAGTTAAGGTATTTTGAGATTCTTTCTGTCTTACTGTACTTGCAGAGAAATTTATAGAAAAACAATAGATTTTGTGGTTTTTTCTGCTTTCTTTATCTGACTAGCAAAGACAGTTACTTAGATCCATTTAGCTATACAAGAATCAAGGAGACGTATTCTTTCACGTGTTAAGTTTGATTTGTTTGGGAATTTTTTTCACCTTTTTTGAGCAGGTAGCAGAAGGAAGACAAGAAGAAATCCAGCAGAAAGGACTGGCTGAGAAAAAGGAATTGCAGCATAAAATAGATGAAATGGAAGAAAGGGAGCAAGAGCTTCAAGCAAAAATAGAAGCTTTGCAGGCCGACAATGACTTCACCAACGAGCGCCTGACAGCTTTGCAAGGTTAGTCACTAGCGGGGGAGAAACTTTGGTTATTTGTTTTTCTTTTAATCTGTGAAATATCTTTCTCTTGGACTTCTGTTTACAGTACGGTTAGAACACCTTCAGGAGAAAACTCTTAAAGAACACAACAGCTTAGGTAGGTGTGATCAAGTTTCTTGTTTCAAGCTGGTTTCCGGATTTTCTGTTCGTTAACTTTTGCTATGACAGTCTCGTATATTGCCGGTGTCTGGCAGAGGAGTTGTGTTTCCCCGTTGTCCCAGTAGGGAGTTCTCCCGGGCATGGAGAGGGGCCAGGGGTCGGCAGAGGGCGCTGGTGCTGCGGGTGTTCAATGCCTGCCCAGGGCCTGATACCGAGATCGGACTTGGAGGGGTTTTACATCCTTATACATTTTAAAATCCTTTTATATATATATATAAAAGGATATATATATATATGTATATATGTAATAAACAGTCATTCTTTGGATGTTAGTAACCTTTCATATGTTTGAACAATCAGGAATGTGGTCTGTAGTGCAGAAAAAGCCATCACACTTTGCCTGCTTTGTTTGATGAGGTACTTAGAAGGAGGAGGTAGCATGAAAAGCCAGATACATTTCACAATGCTGTATTTATAAAGAAACAAAACCCAAAACAAAATCTTGCTTGGTTCCAAAAATAATACCCTTTCTTGATCCTAGGCATACAAGTTGACGACTTCATACCTAAAATTAATGGGAGCACAGAGAAAGGTAGTGTATCTTAAGGCTACCTTTTGTCTTATGGTTGATGTTTGAAGTTGAACAAATTCAAAATGTTCTTGAAAGTTTTGCTTTGAATAATATTCTCTTTAAAACTTAAATTGAATTTGTCCACTCCACTGACCAGCATTTTTTTGCTTAGACTTTCAGTCTGGGTGTTTTTAGAAGGTTCTGTAAAATGTAACAAAACAACTTGGAAGTCGTCTTTTTCTTTTTCTTTTTTTTTTTTTTTTGATGGGCTGTCACTGGAATCAGTAGGAGTTTACTGAATCATATCAGGCTTGTGACACAAGAAAGTGGGAAACTCACTGACTGCTTTTCCTCATGAATTTATTTTCTCTTGCAACACACAGACAGTACACCATTTTTCTAGTAAATTTGATATGGTAAGTAAAGTCAACAAAACCTAATTTTTTATAACTGACTTGAAAAATGTGAGTATATAAAATACATAAATAGTAGAAACTAGTTTTTTAATACTCAAGATTGTCTTTATGTGAAACAGGAATTAATACAGATTGAACTAAATGACAGGGTTTTTTACAGACCAGTTAGACCCAAGTATTTTAGCTCATGTGTCTTAATGTACACTTGAACTTTTCTTGAATGAAGTTATCCAGTAAGAATATGGCCTATATCATGTAAAGAGTATTCCAGTTTGATTCCAAATTCACTAAATTGTTTGATTGGCTGATATATATCTGTCCTCCTGTGTCAATTTTTATTTTTTCCTTGGCGTAACTTTCTTTTACAGTCTGAGGAATGGTGGTAGTGTTAGTTGAAAGGCTGAGGCACCTATATAGAGAGCTCATAGTTTTAACTAATATTCACAGTGTTGAAGGATTACTCTGTGTATTTTTGAAACACAGTTTTAAAGCTCTCTATGCATATTTGTAAACTAAGAGGTTTTTAACTAGGGACACCAATAGCAAAATAAAAAGTTTAATCATGACAAAACTGTATGGTTGTTATTTGGAGCAGGAGGAAAGGTCTGTTAAACATCCACAGGAGCTGTATCTAAACCTCCTCTTAATGTGAGAGTACTGGTTATCCCTCAGTGCCTCAGGATTTTGATCACTTAGCTGTGGTGCACACAGTGCAAGCAGTTAACTCAATGTCTATTCCCAGTTCTCTGGACTGCCATGAAATTTGATTTTTATATGGATCGATCTATCTTGCTGATGCATAATTTTAGGTTGCTAATACTTCTAATGGTTGTGAGACTAGTTAAGAAATAAATCTACCTTTGTTTTTTCATTTTTTTTTAAAACTTTCCACCCCACGAAAGTTAACATCTTTACAAAGCAAAACTGAGGAATATAAAGCTTGGGATTCTTCATTCTAATCATGTAAACCATAAAAAGATGTTGAAAGTGAAGTTGTTGGAGGTTATTAGAAAAACAGGCAATACTGTGAAAAACAGTAGCCTAGAACTAATTTGAAACATTTAGTAAAAACTATTGAGCTCAAATACAGATAATTTTATAGAGAAATAATTTATAACATCATATTAGATATAATTTTTTTAAAGAAACACTTTGTGTTTGGTTTAAAATAGTTTGTAGGAATGTCCTCTTAGTTTTTTTAATACTGATACTTCTTACCAGTTCAGATTTAAAAATTGCCCGTTTAAAAATCATGATGTGATTATAACAAGTATCTTTTGTATTACTGATACTTTTTTGTCAAAGTTGAAGAAGCAATCCCTTTTTGACTTACATTGGATTGCATAAGAGTCAATGTCATGGATGGATGACAAAATGGATTCCTCTGTCCTATGAGTAACAGTGGAACTTGTGCTTAAGCCTGGAAGTTTTAGGAAGCTGTTTGCCAATTTATTTGTCTTTATTAATACAGAAAACATGTAACTGCTCATTCAAGTTGTCTTTCTGTGTTTATACAGTCTATCACCTTTTTTGTCCTGCACATACCATGCTATTTTATTATTCTGTATTTTAGCGTAGTCTTCCATTATTCTGCAGTACCACATTCTTCTGCATCTCTGCCATACTTGGTCCTTCCACATTTCTCTGGCATTTTACAGCTTTCTGCCCTGTGTTCTCTTCATGACAGTCTGTGCCTTTCTGGATCTTCCGGTCCCGTCCCCCTTGTATGACAGATGGGCAGTCATTTGCTCTGCCAGATTTTGGATTTTGTTCTCTAAAAAGTAGCAGGAGACAGTTACTGTTGGTTGGGGTTTTTTGTTTTTGGTTTTGTGGTTTTTTTGTGTTTTTTTTTTTCTGAGTAGTCTTGCATTATTTTAGAAGAGCTAAGAATTTTGAAATTATAATGCAGATTGAGCAACTTTGGCAACAAAAGAGAAAAATTGTAAAACCGTGTAAAATCAGTATGTTTTATTTAAGATTCCTTTTGTCTCCCTCAAAACTTCAGATCAAGGCCTCAGAGTGTGTGTACAGACACACTCCCTGGCCATGGCAAGAACAAGGGGTTTGCACTACTTTTTCTGTAGCAGCATTCAAGAGCTCTATTCAGACTAGAGGAACTAGAAGCTTATGTTATAGCCTTTGCAGAGACTTTTTATAACCAACTGTATTCAGATGATGGTGGTTGGGCATTCGTTTTCTCTCACTGCACATGTGGAAAAGCTGGTGCAGAAGAGAGGAACTTGCTTATAAATCAAGCCCCTGATCACAGTTGTGCAGAACTGAGTTGTTTCAAAACAGTTGTGTAGAACTGGGTTGTATTTTTCTCAGTGAGTTGCACCACACCTGGCTTTCATCTTTAAATTTTGTGAGCCATGTATTATATAAGAAAGGTATGAGAAATTTGTATACAGTCACTTAGAGGATTGTGTATAAAGGGAAAAAAAGTTTGAATATGGAAAATAAATACTTTTTAGAATAACTTTGAAGTATAGTAAAACTCAGTATTGCAGCTGAGCTGCTGATGTCAGAGCTAGTGATTGAACAGTTTGGTTAGAATGGCCCACATTCTGCAGGTTTATACTAAAAGCAGCATTTTCAGACTGCAGGACTCTTGGTCAAATGGTTTTTGAGATCCTCCAGGAAGGAAGTGTTGGCAACTTTTCACTTGAAGAGATGCAGGAACATGATGGAGCTGGGAGCTGAACAAAATCACATGGAGCAACTTGAGTAAACTGGAAATTGAGCCCAGTTTTAGGATCTCTACTGTAGAACCGTCCTTTCAAAAATTGTGCAGTGAAACCGTTTAAAAAGTAAAGGAAGATATTCAACAACACTTTTAAAATAAATGTTTTTCATTTGAAGTGGGTATTAGAGATGAAGAATCAACATGAAGACTAATGAAAAACTTAAATACCCTTTTAAAGCTAATAAAAATGCTGAAGAATATAGGTTAAATACACATTTCTTTTGAAAAGGCAATTGAAGTACTTCCTTCTGATCAGTTCAAAAGAGTAATCTTATTTCCTAGTATCACTCAGACACCATTTCAATTTCATGTCTTGTCTGCTTGCATATTAACTCAGATTTCAAAAGTTCACTGTGAATACACAATTACAAATATTGTTAATATGCCTTTCAAATTTTTTGTTGCATCAATTTGAAAATGATAAGAAGGTGTAAACTTAAGTGTTTCTTTCTCTACTAGAGCACTTTCTTTCAAAGAGTGGAGGGGACTGCACTTTTATTCATCAGTTCATAGAATGTCAGAGTGAGTACAAGAGTGTTCACATTTGCTTTAAAAACAACAGAAAACCCAGAAATGGTGGATGAAAACCAGAATTGTCACTGCTCTTTAATTTTTCTGTAGAATTGTGGCATTGTGATGTCAAGCAGGGTCTGTAGGAGCAGTGAGGGTATCTTTGCTCTTGCAAAGCCATCGTCACATCATCTCTTTGTAGCAGTTAATCCATTATTGTGCCCTGACCAACAAAAGGGTGGTGATGTTGCAACACAGTGTTTAAAACTGAGTGTAATTTTTCACCTGGTACAAATTAAGTTGAAAGCCTAACTCTGTCAGTTTAAACATACATCACAAGCTTGTAGGACAGAGATAAGGCAATGATGCCTTTTCACATATCAATAAAAAGAGAGAAGAGTACTGTTACACTTCAAATAAAACTGGTTTGTAGCATAAAGAATTAATTTTTTATTTAAGAGTTTGTAGAAATTATGTACCTAAAGTTGAGCAGAGAGAAGCATTTAGAAGCAGAAACAAGAGAGTATCTTTTTTCTGACATTATGTCTGTGGGACTCTTCCCTTTTAAATTTTGATGAGGAAGTGAAGCAGACTTGTGTGACTTTACTGCTGGTGATAAGGGTTGCAGTGCTAAAAACTGAATGATGTGATACTGCCAGTGTTTGTCTAAGAAAATTAAAACTTTATTTGAAAACTGTTTATTTTTAAAAATGGCTGGTAGCTATCTTATGTCAGGCTGCTGTTTAAAATAATTCTAAATTCTGCAAAGATCACACATGAATCATCTTTATTCAGTACATAAAAATGAAGTTAAATGTTCGAGTAATCTTTATTTTTGTCTAGACTGAACATGAAGAGCACACTGAATGATGTTCAAATACAGATTGGTTGCCTGTTTTCATTGTTTGGATGTTAGCTTAACCTATTTTAGCAGAACTTGGATTAGTATCACTTCTGCAAACTAAATATGACCAATCTTGTAACTGTTGAGAAGGAAAAGTAATTCTCAGTATCAAAAGATTCTAGGATGTGATTGAATCAGTAATAAGAGTAAAGTTCCATGTGTTTATGCCCTACCTGTTCTTGAGAGATGGAAAGCTACAGGGTGAAGACACTTTAGGGCCTCCATCGCCTCACTTTGAAAAGAATGAGTTCAAAGGGTTCAGGATTTTGCATTTTTTACAACAGTCTAAGCTTTTAATTTCCCATTGAGAGCAAAAAAAAGATTCCAAGTCAGCAATTCATACTTGGGTTGAAAGTTTGCCTTTTCCAAATTCAAATATGTTTAATCAGACCTCACAATATCACGAGGTTAAAAACTGCAAACTGCAGGATCTGTTATTTTCCTTTTGTATGTAAATGCTACCTTTCAGTCTTACTCCCGTTCTTTGCTCTGTGTAGCATTGAGGGTTAGGAACTTCTGGCGAGAAAATTTATAGTTCCTGAGATCTTCAGGAACTTGAATTTTAAGGTATGCAGCAAATACTGAAGTGTAGAATTGGCAATATAAAGAAAGAATATATAGTTCATCATGTGGTACTACGTAGGAGTTTTGCCCCAAGGATTAAGTATAGAGAGAGGAGCAGGTTTATTACTTAAAACACAATAGTACAATAAAAATCCCAGAAACAGGAGTCACTCATTAAAGTTGTGTTATATAGGACTTACTGTTTTGTAATAGAAGCAGAGGAACTGAAACTGTAGTATCTGCAAACCATAAGAGAAATCTAAAAACAAAAGGAGAATTGAGACAACCATCCAGTTGGTCAAGAAGGGAAGGTTCTGAGTTGGTGTGCTTGTACTGCGTGGAAAGTGTGCATCTCCATAGTTCTGGGGGAAAAGCACAAGCAGAGAAATGAGGAAAACCCACTTGAGTAAAGGAATTGGAGTATGGAGGATAGCACAAGAAGAAAACTGAGCTGTTTAAGCAGTCTGGTATTCTATACAAACAGAGGCAGTTGAAAGTGCTCATCAGTTCAGAGCAATTAAAACCTCTTGAAGTACTAAAGCTGGAATATTTTTGATGGGGCAGAAGTAACAGGACACTGAAGTCTTAGTTGCAGTGCAGCTTGAATGCTTGATTTTGGTAGTACTGTTTGTGAAATCCAGCTTTGTAGGTTTTTAAAGGTATTTTTAAATTATTTTGATTTTTTTTTTAAGCGCAGTACGCTCACAATTTCATTCAGTAACGTGTCCTGATTTGCAACATCTGCACAGTATTATGAGATCTGGCTCTGAATGATCTGGGAAGTCTGTTACTTTCTGATCATTACATCCAGTTCACTTGTTGCTCATTCCATAGCTTTTCTTGTTTCAATAACCACTGGTGACAATCAGTGATACCGACAGCAAAAGTCATGGTGCTTCTTTTTGATTAGTTCATAATATGAATTATTACCAAAAATGGTGATGATGTATAGACAAAAGTGAGATTTGCCCTGCTAGCTTCCTGTCTTTTGCTTCAATCTAACCCTTCCTTGTGTCCTTATTTTTTTCCCCTTATTTTGTGATTTTTGCATTTATGATTTGAAATGCAAGTCAATGTTTTTACTTTTTACCAAACTGATGTTTAAGAAGCTGTTATTAGTAGTTTTTGGATGGATTGAATGGTTATTTCTAACTTTTCCATTTGACCTGCATGTGGCAAGTAAAGTTTAAGCTCTTTAGTATCACTTTTTTCAGATGATTGGAAATTTGTGTGTTGAGGGTCAAGTTTGCTTTTATTTTGATTTTCAAAACTGGCCTCCTTCAAAGACTGTTTTGGTACAAAACCATTAAATGTATTGGGAACATGTTACTTAAGTAGTAATTTTAATGTTAACAGATCTTAGCTATTATATTGCACGCAGTGATAGGCAACCCAAATCTAAAAGGGAGTTCTTAATTTGAAAAGAAAGGAAATGACTAAAAACCTAAAGGGAAGCTGCCTGTGAACTACATTCATCAGCAAAAAGGAATATGAAAGATGAACTGAAAGCTTCATTTCACAGCAGATTGTTTCAGTAAAAGCATTTATTTATTATATATATCTCTCTGCTACTTTCTGTGACTTTGTTAAGTAGTGACTGGATAGCATGACAGATAAAATTCTTTTGTGCCAGAAATTAAAGATAGGATCCTCACCCAAACTTATATTTTGGTAGCCAAAACTGCATGTCTTGATTCAGGGAAAACATTTAAAAATAAATCACATTTGTGAAGTTTTCTGAAATAGCAATGTGAAAAGATGCAGAGATGTGAAAGAGATGTTTTAAAGAAGACATGTCTGTATCTTTTACTTTCTGATTGTTGTCTGGCTTCTGCCGTTTTTAGTGACTGGGATGGTAGCAGAGTGGAAAATAAGATTCTGTGTAGTTCAGTGATACCAGCATCTAATTTTCTGTGTATTATGTAAATACTTGCCAGCACACTGAAATAAACTATTTTTTGTTGGCTTCAAAATACCCTAATGGTAACATTCTTTAAACACAGCGTTCTGTAAGTTAGGAGAGATGTCAGTCCCCAAGTGAAAAGTACTGGCTGTGCTGGGCAAGGGACTCTGGTGCTGCTGCTGAAGGTCTTGGCTGAAGAAATAGTGTCAAGGAGAAACCGTGCGTACAAATGGTGAAATCTGTAATGGACACTAGAAAACAGCCATGGTGGAAATGAAAAAAAAATATAGAGAGTTTCTTTTAACCATGGGAACTGAGTGTAAAGAGCTGCTGCAAAAGTTTCAGTTTGGAAAACATTTGCCTCGAGAAGATTAGTTTTGTTGTTTTGTGCTGTAACTATTCTGGATTTAGCAGTTACCGCATTCAGAAAACTACAAGATCCATCACTTCATAAAGCTAAGTTTTACTCTGTAAACTGATTATAGAAGCCTATTTTAAGCTGGCAGTCTAGCATAGATGAGATGTTACTCCTTCAGATCAAGCAGTTGATCACTACTTGGATTTTGCATTCAACTGTTTTCTTCAGTTCTATAGGCAGAATTCCTGGCTGTTTTCTTGCTGCCTTCCTCTCCACAACACTTTCAGCCTCAGATGAGTCCTGGACTAACCATATATGAAGACTTTTGATTAGATTTATTTTATTTTGAAATGGAAGAGGGCTCCTGATATCACTCAAACTCCTGACTTGTGGCTGCAGTAACTTGATTCCCTCCACGGTGCCTTCCTTGGTCTGGGGACAGTCATTCTCTCCAGCTCTGAGGAACTTGAGGCTGTCCTGAACTTGGATGATGAGTTATCACCTACAGTTGCTTGAGACCTGAAGCCAATTCTAAAAATCCAGTGTGCTGTTCAGTGTATTTCTGAAGCAGTATTAGTAAAATGTTACAGGAATGCTGGACAATATTTGTGGATAAAAGTAGTTGGAGGGAACATCCCTTTTAGACTGGTTTACCTGGCAATGGGGGAGGAAAGAGGACAGGGCAATCTTTTGGCCATGCAAACCCTTCTTCAAATCTCAGGTGTTGTTTTTTTTTTTTTGTCTGAAAGCTTGTCTACCATCTAGGGTTGAAAAAAGTGCTTCCTCACAAATCCTGTCCTGCATCTGTCCTTAGATTGTCATGGTTACAGCAGCATGCCATGGGAGGAGTACAGGGTCAGGCTAATCTTCAGAGCTGCTTGAAGCTGGAGATGCTGACTAAAGCTCACTATTTTATTTATTTTTTTTTTAAATTAAAATTTTGAAAAGGATTTACTGTCATCCAGCTTCCTGAATCTGAACTCTCCTATATATGCTGTTCATCCAGTCTTCTCCATGTCTCAGTTACCTGTTAACAGCACACAGAGTAAGCAGCAAACTCAGTTCCCTGCCTGGTTATCAGGGATCTGGCAGGGAAAGCACAGAGGGAAGACAGAAGCAACTTCAAGCCTGATGTCTCAGGGGGTGTTAACAGCTTTCAACAGGATCTAAATAGAAAGATCTACTGCATAGAAACTGAGAATGTGATCTGCAAGATGTGACCCTCGATAATTTTGTATGTTGGCGTTTCTAGTTGCTTCTTAAGTAATTTGCAATAATGAAATCTCATCTGAAAAAAGAAATTAAGTAATGATACAATAGTTCTTTTAGTGTCTTTGATTAATTCAAACCTGTTCTTCCCTTGGTCCTCCTGTTTGCCTTCATGTCCTAGCTGGAGTTAGGATGAAGTTAGCAATATAATCTCAAATTGAACTTTTTAGGTTTTTGTGCACCTGACATACACGAATAGGGTTTCCAAAAGTAGACTTTATATAAAAACTCAATTTTTGTGAACTTGAATGTGATGCATTCCTAGTTTTTGAAAGTTTATGCAGCTCTCTTGAAAGATTTAATCTAAGAAAGGCTGTTTCTGTGTACCTTTCACAAGCAGTGTTAAAGCAGTTGTGATGTGAATGGGGGGGTCCTTCTCTATTGCTGTTTTACTGTGCTGTATTTCTAGATTTCTGCTGTGTTGGGTGGACACCTATTTCAGGGAACCAGCTCTTAGAATTCTTTTTTTGATAACTAGATCCTGAGAAACGTATTCATATTTTATTACTTTTGGTTTAGGTTTTTAAAAAGTACGTAAAATTAATTTTCCTAAATTCTCATTAGTGAACTGAAGGATTATGTAAGTTAATAAGGAGAAGTAATTATGCACTGTATCACAAAGTTCCAGTAGGCTTGTGTGCTCTGTTCCGTTATTCTGTGCCAGAATCAAGTTTTTGTTCAAGCCTGAGTAGGAAGTAATATTATCAGCTTTTAATTTGGTCATGGAATGTGCTCTACGTAGATGCGTACAGGGAAAAGCTTGTTAAATTTGAGCTTGGAAAGTAACACTTATTTTGTTTGGCAGACAAGATCATAGATGAAGGACATCTAACCAAAGTGGAAGAAACAAAGCTTTTGAAAGGTTAGACTTCTGGATTGTTTCACTGTTTTTGAAGCATGCTTTTTATGTCACTCAGTGCATGTTCTGTGTTAAGCTAGCAGTTTGAGTTTTGATTAAATACACATTTGAGAAGAAATTCAATAAAAGGGAGGTAAATTGTTTGCTGAACTCTGCTCCAAATACTATTGCAGGGTAAAAAGACTGAAACAATTTTGGAAGATTGAATGCCTGAAATGCTGATCTCAGTATTGACTGAGTTCTGACCTTAATATGCATTTTTAAAAAAATTAAAATACAATAATTTTTGTAAATTGAATTCAAGCTTTAATGTTTGCATAAATTTCAAACAGGATCTTGGTTTTGTCACAGGGCTAAATAGAAATAATGTTTGGTCTCATTTTAAGTTTTAAATAAAATTGTATTTTAATTTGACTATTTTCTAACTTAGAGCCTCATAACTGTAAAATAAGCCTTAGCCTCCTAAATGTGCCTTCTCCAAGTAAAACATATCTGTGCATCTCTAACTCTCTTCTCTAATGTATAAAGCAAGTTAAATTAAAGGAGCTAATTAGAAAAGACTTATCTTGTCAAGGAACAGTCATCCTGATCTTGCAGTGCCAGTCAGGAATGCTACAAAGTGTGGAGGTCAGTATTTCCCATGTGTCCAATAACATGAGATTGTTTGGACTTGTAGGCTGGCTCCTCTTTTGTAGCATTTTATTGGTGTCTAGACATACTAACTCATTTCTTTACCCTCTGTCCTTCTGCAAAGTGTTGTTTTGTTGAATAAGTGTGAGCATGTTGGAAGTTCCAGTATTCTAGAGACATTTTAATTTCTTATCTTCCTTTAGTGCATGGAATTGCACCTTTAACTTCTTTCTGTACGTGAGCAAGCTATAGAAAGGGTGCCATATTTGGCAAAGAATGCATACAATAACTGTAATGTAACACTTGCATGCCACTTATTGCAAAGCTGGGAGCTATTTTTAGTGGGTAATATATTCTAACTCATCAAGTAAGTATGATGTCAACACATTTTAATATACTTCATCACTTTTGCTATATTTATTCAGCTCAGTTTTATTATGGGAAATAGGAACAACTGCTGTGAAGTAATATAGTACAGGAAGGTGTTTTGTGCTTATGACTCTGGTTCCAGAATAGGAAGGAGGTTTCTAAATCATTTCTCTTTTTGACTTCTGCTGCTTCACATGTAGATGCATCTTTCCTCTGGTGCCTGATCTTTTGTGCCTTGTTCCAGAGGGAGGAGGGCGGGAGGGAGGAAGAAGCCGGTGTACCCGAGGGGGGGTGGGAGGGAATTATGAGGGGGAGGTGGGGGGGAGAGCATTAATTCCGTGGTTGGAGCTCGCATAGTTCCTCCCATTTCGCACAGAGCAGGAAAGCTGTTTCCATGGATGCCCAGATATGGTAAAGTTAGTTGGATACAGATCTTGTTCAGCTTAGTGCTTCTGGATCGGCCGCTCATATCACTGACATGGGTGAGGCTTTTAGGTTATCCTTTGCTTAATATTTTAAAAAGGGTGTATTACTTTTAGTAATTATTAGTGACAATGCTGTGAGCTTTACATGTATCTGTGTGATACATGTAAAATGCTTGATTTGTAGCATCTTTAGATATTAGTTAAAAACTTTATTCCTAAAAATAGGGAAGTATCCTTTATGTTTGGGGGTGATTATTTGCTAAAACAACAAGTTTTTAACTACTCCAATCATTATGAACTCTGAAGGTTGTTAAAGTCATGGGAGTTGTTTGGAATAGCTGCCAGGTCTGAACCCCTAATGTGCTTTAACTGTACAGGTGTTTTCCCCTTCCTCCTCTCCAGTTATTTCATTTGCATGAAGAGTCTGGCTCTTCATCAGCTGCTTTGTTTGTACTTGCTGCCTTCTGTTTCGTGTACAAGGGGATGTTATTCTGGCACACAGAGATAGAGAATTTTTCATGTTAGATGAAGAAAACTTTTTTTTTTCCTGTTAACCTATCTGTGTTTTGTCATCTTGCTGATTTTCCCATGTAGGTGCATTGGTTGTCTTCAGTTTCAACTTAACTTCTTTCATTTGGGGGGAATTTAGTTCTGTTCTCTTGTTATTTGAAAAAGCTTTCTCATGTCTCCTTTGTTTTTTATTTATTTTCATATACTAACTCTGTTGGTATAACACACTTGATTTATTTCTTGATGTCCTTCTTTTTTCCTGTGTCCTGGTACTTCTTTGTTGCATGTACATTATGTAAATGTGATGAAATGATTTTTGTTCACCATGCTTTTCTGCATGTATGGTAGAAGTAGAGTCTGTGTACTGGGAATGTTGCACTGACCCCTTTTAATATGTATCTCTGCCTGGAACTTGAGACTCAGAGGAAACTTCTTCTAATCTGCAAGTGGGGAGCAATGCTGTCAAACCAAGGCTCTGAACAGTCAGCCTAGAAAGATTTCCTTATGTGTAACCTCACCTGCATGTTGGTTCCTCACTGAGAGACCTTCTGGGTTAGCCCACACCAGAGATGGTGTGTCATTCTTTAATGGACCCATCAGAACTGAACCAGAATTATCATTTAAGAAAAATGTTGAGTCAGGGATGGTTCTGTGTGGGAAAAGGATGCACTGGTATGATTAAGTCCCCTCATCTTTTGAAAATGTCTCCTTGAAAACCTAGAACTGGGAAAGTAAAAAAAGGAACAGCAAACAAACCCAAAAATAACTGTGTGGCTTCACTAAGTTGCATGTAATAATGTGGTGAATTATGTGTGAACAGATACTTCATGAAGTTATTTTTTTATTGGAAAGGACATGCTTTCTCTTAATACAATTTGAGCTGAAAATTCTTTCTAGAAATTCCTGTGTTATTTTATATCTCTGTGGTTCTTTAATGGTTCACACCACACTTCTTTTTAACAGTACAGTATGTACAAGACTTGTTGCTATTATTTTATTTGTCCTAAATACTGAAGCACAGTTTTATTCTTAACAGCACTTTCTTTCTGACTTGCTACAGTATCTGCATTGTTTTAGTTTCCTTCTCTTATTTGTTCTCTGGTTGAATCAGCTTTTGCACAGTTCCAGCTGGCAGGAACACAGCGTTAACCCAAGTTCAAGCTGTGCACGAGGCAGTTGCATCCCCTATTAGAGGCGAGGGTGGATTAATGATCCAGGGATGTGGAATCCATTTTAGCTCAGACTTGCAAAGAAATTAGCTACCACCAGGTTTTTAACTGTTTCTTGAACTGGGTCGTTTTCTGTTGACATTTAGCTGTACTTGGGTGTACAGGAGAAATTATGAACAAAGCATTTACTGATTGTAGTTGCTTTTCCTTGTCTCTTGCAGAGAATCAAGCACGAGTCAAAGAATCCAACGATTTGTCGGACACTCTCAGCCCAAGCAAGGAAAAAAGCAGCGACGACACTACAGGTGAGAGTTTAACTGAGGTTTCTGTAACATATAATTAGTTTGAATTAAATCACTTAATTAATCATGAGTATCTTCTTACAAGAGTGGGGTGTATAATGCAGAGTCAGATACAAGCTTAGAGCAGTATTGTCTATTCTGCAGCTTCATAATTAACTCTTGTAAACTGAGAAGAACATAAAAGCTTCTCTCCATGTTAAGAATGAAATCTGTCTGCAGTCTACCTGCTCTCTGAAAGGTTGGGGTTTGTTTGTTTTTTTTTTTTTAGATGCTCAAATGGATGACCAAGATCTAAATGAACCTATTGCTAAAGTAGCTCTTCTAAAAGGTAAACAAACTTATTTTTGTAACTTTAGGTGCATAATCTGTATATGTCATCTTTTTATCTAACTGTTTTTTATCAGAAGTGCATTGAAGTAGAGTGCTGAAATTCGAAGGTTTTAATCATGTAGTATGGAAGAGTTAAATTTAAGTATCAATAATGACTCCTTTGGGTGATATAATATAAAAGCACACTTCTGAGTGTTAGTATAGAAATAATCTGTGTATAAAGGTAGTCTCTGCACTCACCAACACTGTTTTAGGAATTTACATGTCGTGACTTCAAGTAGAGTTGAGAATTAGTCAGCATGCACTTAAGTTAGGGCTGATAGCTGTGGGGAGGAGGGATTCTTCCATCACTGATATGCTTTAAGCATTGTCTAATTTTACTTGCATAGCTTCCATCACTGTCAGAAATGCTGCTGTTAGTTTGTAGCTGACGGGTTAACCAAAACAAGACTTTAGTTTTTCTTTTTGACACAATCAAGAATTGAATTTCCTATTGTAGCTGTATTTAGAATGATTGCTGAGCTGTAGCTTTGAGCTTTATAGCTATAAAATTAAATTTTTTTACTGTTCTTTGCACTAAGGGCTTGTGATTAAAACTTAATTAACAAGGTAAATTTACATATTCATGAGCTGGAAAAGGTGGCATATTAATTAGTTGTTACATTTAGCCTACTGAAAATTAATTCTATGCTTTTTGTGCAGGTAGATATTTGATAAGATTTGTAAAATTATGCTCGTGTTGTGATCACAAGTAAAAAGGATGTGACAGTTCTTTGTGATTTGGAAAGACAGGAAACCATAACAGAACTTGGGAGACCTGTAAAAGAGCTTTTTTCTGCAATTGTTTACACTCCCTAATTTTACAACAGAAAGGCTTCCAAATATTGCACAAATTACTTTTGCTTTTGGCAGCGATATAAAATGGAGTTTGATATTTCCCAGTAGGCATCAGTTCAGCAAAGCAGTTTAGAAAGGAGTATTTGAGATACTGAGTGTGTTCCATTTGGGGTTTGCTCTAATACTTGCAATTAATAACAGGTATGTTCAGTGACTTCCTATGCTAGAAGGTAGAATTTGATAATGTTGTTTGTAGTGATTGACAGTCTTATTTTCAGTTATAAATTTGAGATTGGCAGCAACTTTTATTTGAAAAAAAAAATCAGTTGAAAAGCATGAAGTTCATTAAGTATCAGAACTTTTAAGTCCAGAATGGGAGACATATTAAGGAATTGGTTTTCTGTAAGCATTGGCACATGCACTGAATTCACAGCTGGAACAGCCCTTCATGTGTAAACTGTATGGTAGAGAAACTGAATTCAGCTCATGTCAAAGTTTTATTTTAATTCTAATTGGTTTAGTTTTAAGATGGCCAACTGAAGACTAGTCCCAACTGGTTCGTTTGTCTTAGTTATCTTCTGAAAACAAATTAAAGGGAGTTCGTGGACCCTTAGGCTGAAACCCCATGGATTCCTGAATTCTCCTTTTCTGCAAGACAAGTGTTAAGTTCTGCCAGAAAGGTTCATTGAACAGCCCCAGACCAGGATCAGGCAGCTGTGACCCTGCTGCTTCCTGCATTGCAACAGTCCCGTGTCACAGCAAGGGCAGGTGTAGTTACACTTGCTCTGTCCAGGGTGTGCTAAACTGGCAAGGAGGGTTAACTGAACACTTAGAGGACTAAAATCAAGTTTTCTATAGTAATATAGAAGCAGTCTTTTGCTAATGTAGATGTTTTCATTGCTTCATCTGTCTTTACTCAGTTGAAGATTTAAACCATAACTGTTACAGAATTTTTAAGTGAATAAGTAGAAAAATACCTATTTGCATAGAGAGCTTTGCTGTTGAATTAACTAAAATAATTGGAATAACTCGTTCCCTCTTTAAGCTATTTATGGACATTCCTATTTTGCTCTCATGAAACCATTACAAAATATCTGTACAATGAATCATTTGCCCTTTTAATTTTTATGAAGAGCCTATAAACCCCCACAGTGTTGAGGTTTCTTTCAGAGAGCTACTTCATGTGCCTGACTTTGCCCTAAAAAGGATCTTACTTGCCACAGAAAGGCTTTCAAGTGGCCTTGTTGTGCTGTCATATAATTAAGGAAGAGTGAGAACATTTCTGATCTGGCAGCTGTTTGGGATGTGGAAACAGCTGCTGGAAAAGGCAGCGGTCTTGTTGGAATTTACAAACCAATGGAACAAGAAAATTATGAGACTTCTAATTGCTCTAGTTTAATCCAAACATCTTCTATCAAAAATTTTGAGTGCATTCAGGATTAGTTTCAACTTTTTACAAGTCAGAATCGGGCAAAGAGGGGAGGGGGGAAAGCTGTCACAGATTAGTTGGTTTTTCTTCTCCCCTTTCCCCTCTCCCTGTGAGGTAAATGACTTTAAGAGCCATTCATAACAGTTCCCTGGACACTTCTCTTTAAACAGGCTGTTTGTGACTACTTATTGCAAAGTTAAAGACAGGTGAATGTTAAACAGATGGAAAGAAGCAATAAATGTCATTGGAAGGTTGCTGGTCTTGTTCCTGTCAATGCCCCTGTGTTTTCATAGTAACTACAAGACTGATCCATGGAGTCTTAGTAGAAAGTGTTTTCAGTTAAAGGTTTGCTGCACAGTGGTAGTTTACCTAAGAAATTTTGAAAATCATCAGTGGTCTGTTGATGCAGAAAGTTTGGGAACTGTTGTTTTGTGTTACAGTAGCCAGGTACTTTACTTTAAATATATGATAGTTTCCTTCATGTGGATCTTACAAAACTAAAGAAAACTCAGGGTTTTAATGGTTTGTGTGATTTCACTGAGTACCCCAAGTATTGTCTTCTGAATAACCTGAGAAATTCAGCAAAATTCTGGAAGTGAACTACTGTCAGACTTGGAGAAATACCAGCCTGCTAATAAAGTTGCTTCCACAGGCCAGGCACATACAGATAGGGGATCAATTAAGACCACGGCCTATGTGTGGTTCTGTGTCATCTCTGTTATCAAAACAAAAGTGTAAAGGCAAACAGAAACAGAGCTTGGTTAATATCTTCATGTTTGTAAATACTAAATTTTTGGTATTGACATAAATGAATGAGGGTTTTCAAACTGTTGTATTTGACCTTTTTTTTTTTTTTAATTTAATTTCTTTCTGGCACCTCGTTGTAAGTAATGACAACTTCTTTAACCTTCTCTGAGAATGGTTAGTCCAAAGCTGAACACTTCTGAAAATTGATCAAATACTTTTTAGTTGCAGCCTTTTACACTGATTCTCAAAATAGGTTTTTGTGGTGTGAATTTGCTTCTTAAGGGAACTGATTCTAAGCATGATATTTAGTAGTTTTGTTATTTATAAATAGAGCAATCCTACTCACTTAACAATTATTTTTCAAAACTAAAATGACCTTTTGATTTAGAAGCATGTCAGGCACATGAAAATTCCCCTTTTGGGTTAGAGTAGGAAAGAGTTTTTACCTTGATTGTTCCTTTGCTCAAATGATAATGTTGTCCCTTAAACTGAGCCTCTCGTCTCCTTTGAAGCAGTACTGTCTTTTATGATGTGTGCTTTCAATGACTAGAAAATCCTGTCCACCAGCAAGTTCATTTAGGGTGTCTTTTATTGGATTTGGGACACTGCTTCTTTATCAGGAGGGATTGGAGCATAATTTGTCAGCTTCCTCATCCATTTCTTCTGAAAAGTCTCATTAAGGAGTGTTGGAAGTCTAATTGCCCCATGTCTTTATCCATGAAAAGCTAAGAACAAAACATGTTCAGTAAAAAGAAACTTGGATTTGGAAATAATAAACTATAAACCAAGGTATTTGGATGAAATATGGGGTCCTCTCTGTTCTTTCTGCTCTCATAATTTTGTTCTGAAAAAGTCTAAAAGCACACTTGTGTCCTCAGCTCTACTCAATCCCACCAATTCATTACTGTGAGAACAGAAAAAACAGCCCCTTATTTAGAGGGATGCAGTATGAATACTTAAGCATGATTTGCAAACAATTGTTTTAATTAAGAGAACAAGAAAAAATGTATAGTTCCTTTATTGGTAGCATATATAGTCAAACGTCAATGTCAAAAGTATAATGACAAACTAAACTATAGCTTCTTTTTATTTTTTTTCTTATTAGTGAAGGGTCCAGACAATGAAAGTAATATTTTATTCAAAGCCTTTATCTTAGATCCATATGGTCTCTAGTTGCAGATGTTTATTAACCAGGTAGCTGTGTAACTCCTGTACCTTTTTTTTCCCCCTCCCTCTCCCATGAGATGCAGGCTGGACTTCTTTCATTAATTACCTTTCTTTACCTTTCTCACCAAACAAGCTTTGTATCAAGTTTTAGCCCTCAACCTGAAAAGTTTATTAATGCTATTTGAGCCTATTGAAAGATCAGTTTCTGCACAGACACTGCTTAGGGAAAATCTAGTGAATGAGGGTTTCCTGGATGCAGTTCCTGGCATTGCAAATGCCTGCAGGCTGGAGTGTTCCTGCATCTAGTTTCTAGTGTGTGTCCCTTAGAGGGCACTGCTATTGGTTACAAGTAACTTATTTTTCCTCTTTTAAATTCCTCCAAAACTTCAGCTATAAAAGTATTTACTTTGTCTGTGACTGCAAGTCATGTCTTATAAACGCAGGAGGCATTTAATGTGCATTTTAGCTAATACAAAACTTACGGGAAGAGCAAATGTTTTTATTTAAATAACATGCATAGATATCTGATCATAATAAAGATTTACCTAATTAAGACAGTGAAAATAAATGTAAAGGCAAAATTTATTTTGTATATTAGTGTATTCACTAAGAACAAAATAAGGAGGCTGGACTTCTCTTTTTCTTAACTTTGTTTTAGAAAACTTCCCTAATTTTTTCCTTTCCTCGTTGGTCCCCAGAGGGAGGGTGGCAGTAGCAAACCCTCTAAGAGCAGCTCTTTGCCTGATCCCTGCAGCTGATGGGCATTAGCAGCCTCAGCAGGAGGCTGGGCTGGGGGTGTTTGGGAAAGGGGGAATGCAGGATCATTGCTCAGGGACAGGCTTAGAGTGGCTTCCTTCAAAAGGAGACAAGTTGTAAACATGTGCTTGTTGTCCCTCGGTTTTGTCAATCCAGAAATCCTTGCCAAGCTATACAGTGTTTTCAAAAACTCTCTAGTTCTTGTTTGTTACTTTTTGTTTTATACTGCATGTTATATGTAATGAATGTGTTAAAGTTCGCATACGTTTTATTCCTTTTCTAAGTATATTAATATTTTGGCTAATATTTACCTAATCCAGTTTTGAGTTTACTTTAACTAACTTTGGAAGATTTGAGTAAAAAGTTGCCAGTCACCACGTGGCAGTGCAAATTAAACTGTTGTTCAAATTTATGATTTAAAGAAAATGTTCTTTTATCAGATGAATTGCAGGGTGCACAATCAGAGACTGAGGCTAAGCAAGAAATTCAGCAACTGCACAAGGAGCTGATTGAAGCCCAAGAGCTAGCTAGGACAAGTAAACAAAAATGCTTTGAACTTCAAGGTGAGACCCAGATCAACTTGGTTGCGTAGGGTATTCATTAAAATTGTATTTATCAGGTAGTCTTAAATGGGGGTCCAGTTTTGCTGACTGTCTGTTAGATAAATCTGGCTCATAGCATTCACATCTCTTGCACAGAATGTCAGAATCTTTTACGCTTTTTTTTCCAAACTTTTTTCTTTTGCTTGTTTTTGGAACTCTATGCAGTTCAATTCAGCTCTGATTTTTTAGTTCAAGATAAACCAACATGCTTTCACAGTATCAAATACATACTTGAACTCTGTATATTTTATACTTATGGAATATATTTTATTGCCAGATACCGATTAATCTGCTTTTCAGTCACATAATGCACATAATGGGATGTGTTTAGATCATCCTCCCAGCTATGTAGCTGTATCATTACCCTCAGTAAAGTTGTGGGTTGTTTTTTACAGGAAATAGTATAGTCCAGTTGAATTGCATATTATTCAATGTTCTTTATGGGATGTATTTACAGCTTTTTCTTTTTTCTCCTCCCACACCAGTTTGCATTTAGCACACACGGAGTTTTCGGAGCAGGCAACAGATTACATTAATTTCAAATTAATTGTAATACTACCACAATAATGGAATGATTTCTTAACATTAACTTTTATTAAACTACTCACACAGTTACTAGCTTTGATAACTTCCTGAAATAATACGTTTGTTTAATCTTTTCATTTAAGAGGAAGTTGTGACTAAAATGAATTACGCAGCTGAAATACATGTTACTAACAAAACCTCTGGGGCACATCTTCACTTTTGTTTATAGCACTCTTGGAAGAAGAGAGAAAAGCATATCGAGTGCAAGTCGAAGAATCTAACAAGCAAATAAATGCTCTGCAAGGTAGGAATTTATTTTTTCTCCCCCCACCCTTTAGGGAAAATATATAGCTTTGACTTTCTGTGGCATCATAATTACTAATAAAGGAAAATGTTAATTGAGTGTATGTTTTAAATCTGATTTCTTTCACTATATCTTTGAATTTTATTGTGAAATGTTTCCTGTCAGTTCCTATGGTTCTAATAGTAACTTAGAAAATGCAGAAGATGTAATCTGTAATAGATACCTCTTCATTTCTCTTCAGTCTTCCTCAGTTCTGAATTATGTAGGGCTTCTTACTGTGATGACCTTCAGAGCACCGAGGAGGTTTAGTCTTCAGAATGAGAGGAGCAATTTAATTTTGAATATTATCCTGCTAGTAATGAAAACTCTCCAAGTAACAAATGCTGTAACAAAAGTTAGAAAATAGAATTTGATAGTTATTTTGATGCAGAAAAAATAAATCTTTTTTTTCCTCTCAAAAAAGAGAATCAGAGATAGGACCTTGACAGAGCCAAACTTAACTACAAGATGCCTCTTGTTGGTTCAGTACTTTTTTGTTTTCTGATCCTTCTCAAGTGAGGTCTTGCTAATGTTTCCTCCTCTTCTCTCTCCATTGTAGTTCAGACTGTTCTGATGTTCACTGTGTCCTTGCTGCTTCCCAAACATTTAGGGTGTGACGCATCTCGCAATTTCGAAAAAGTTGTCAGGATTCTTCCTTGGCAACTGCTGTGAACTGTAGGGAGGGGAAAAAAAAACCTGGCAGCTTCATGCAGTAACATTTCTTGAAGTGTTTTCATGGAATCAGTGTTTTAGCCCAGCCAGTGCTGCATGGCTTTTTTATGTTTGTCGTGGAGAAGAGAAAGGGCCACAGAAACAACTGAGATTGTGTCTCTACATGTGAAGTTTGTTATATGAGCAGATAGGTAGAGCAAGGAAATTCAAGTAACTTGTTATGCCTTATTTAAAAAAATAAAAGAAGTGAAACATTCAGTTTAGATGAGGTAATGGCTTATATAAATGAGAGATGTAATGGAAGTTTTCCTTCTAATTGTCCTTTCAAATTATACCCAGTGCTTCAGAAACCATTCCAAGATTCTTAGTAGTAATTTTCATGTGTAAGTTATTTCTACAACTCCACCAAGCTTTAGAAATTCTTGTGCATCTTTGGATTTTCCATCATACTTTGCTTGTTTTCACGCCTGAACATTTAAAGGGACAGTTATTCATCAGCAACACAGATGGAAGAAAAAAACACATTTCTTTGAAATGCTGCCAATACCAAGAAGCAGTTTAGCTTGGCTTGATAAAGAAAATAGTATCAAGAAGATATAATTTGTATTCCTTTGCTCAGGAACCTGCTTTATTAGCAAGTCGTAGTTCTTTGTGTTTTAGAGGATATTACTTAGGTAGGCTCAGGGCTTCCAAGGCTACATGGAAAGGCAACTGTTGATACACCAGATGTTGTGTTACTGTCAGGTTGTTATCATCCACTACTTTGTTTGCTATTCTGTTACAGTACAAGCCTGTAGAAACTATTTTCAAACAGACGAGGTGGTAGTAAGCCTGATGTTGCACACATATATTTAAAAATCCATCATGCTGCAAGTGTTATGGAAGAGGTGGACTGTTTCTAGATTGTATATGAATTCTTTCTGTATTACTATGTAGCTACTGAAAAATATCAAGTACAATTGTCATGAAGGTGCAGGTGTCTCTTGAGTAGCTTTGATGCTGTATCAGTTTACAGCTAGACTCACTCACATTCTCCCTGTCATCTTCTGTAATGGATTGAGAGGACAGAAATAAATACAAGTAATCTAGGAGGGTTGCTCAGTCTTGTTATCCACCCTGTAGTGGATAACAGTTTCCACTATCCTCATTTGGCCCTTTGCTTCTGAAACATGTAACTTTAAATGTGTGATCCTGACCCTCCACAGTATCTTACATTAGGTTTTCAGGTCCTGTGAAGAATTTTACCTTTTCTTCTCAGAGTAATTCTTTATTAATTTAATAATTGCTTTTTTGCATGTTAAAATCAATGAAATACATGTGAACTCTGATACGTGTTCTTTAAAAAGTAAAACAAAACCACAGCAAATTAAACACTTTGCTCCCATCAGTCAGGGTTTTAACTGTAGTTTTTCCTCTGTACTGTACTTTTTTGTCCGACTGTTTGCACTGGATTCTGTTTGCATGTGTGTTTATGAAAAATCGTTGTGCTCAGACATGTCTTTGGTAATGAAACAGTTTTGGGTGGGAATAACCTATAAGGTTTTCTTCATGCAGAAATGTCACATAGCCTACTGTGTACGTGCCTGCTGCACATTTACAGTAGCTGTAAATGCTAAAGGACCTTCTAGCTCAGTATATTTGGAGCAGCTGTCCCTTTCATTCAGAATTCATCTTGTGCTTTGAAAAAGGCTTTTTGCAAAGAAATAATGTTTACTTCCTCTGCTACATGTTAAGCATGGAGTCAAAATTTAGACCCTGTGCCTCAAATTTTTATAGACATCACAAGTTAACTGCTGAACAGGCGAACATTTCCAGTGTAGCTTTGCAACTGTTTGTCTTGTCAGAGAAGCCTTCTTCCTTTTCCTCTTGTTCCTGAAAGCCCCAATGTCCTTGTTCTATAATCCTTGTTTTGCTTACAATGAAGTTGGATGTAAATCTTGCTTCAGATTTTGGAGAGTTGCTTTAGTATCACACACACAACACAGCTTTGTCTAAGAAAGGTTTGTTCAGACATCATTTTTGTTTCTTTTGACTCTGTGCTACATGGCCCACGTACATATCTCTCTGTCAGTACAGTATTTGACAAGATCAATGTATTTTTTCAATTGCATTGGGCTTCTTTAGTCCTGTTAAATATTGACAAGCTGAGAAAGGGAGTTATGTTTTTTAGGTTTTCTCTAAATACAGTTTTAATAAATACAAATGTTAATGTCGCTTTCCAGCCCAGCTGCGAAGGTTACAAGAAGAAATTGAGAATCTTCGTAAGGAAAAGGAGAACGAGATTTCAAGCACTCGAAACGAACTAGTCAGTGCTCAAAATGAGATTCTGTCACTTCAGCAAGTAGCAGAAAAGGCAGCATCAGAACGGGACACAGATATTTCCACTTTGCAAGCAGAGCTACAGACGGTGCGAGCGGAGCTTGAGCGGTGGCGGAAAGATGCCTCGGATTATGAAAAAGAAATTGTGGACCTGCAAGCCAGTTTTCAGCTCAGGTGCCAGCAGTGTGAGGATCAGCAGAAGGAAGAGGCCACTCGCTTAAAAGGTACTCCTTTGAAGGGATGTCCCAGACCAGTGCTAACACAGCATCCTTCTCACTCTGTGGAATGGCAGTTACTCAAATCACTGTTGCTCTGTCCCTTTGCAGTCATTTACTCTGTCTATATATATATATTTATACACCAATATGTATATTTATGTATGTGTGCCAAGGCTTGTAGTGTTACAAAAGCTGTTTTGCATGCTTCATTAAATAGTAATTGTCTAAATTAGCTCATGTACTTTGATATCAGGACCAACTATAATTCCACTTTGAAAAGATGGAAAACTTCTACAGTTGAGGGACTCATACTGCCACAGATTTCCAAGAGGATTTGTGTAACTTCTGTAATTTAAGCCCATAAAGGGAGAGCTTCAGACTTTTTAATTCTGGTAAAGCTTTACTCAAGACAATTAACTGTATTTTATGGCTTAATGAAACTGTTGATACCATCTCATTTTTAACGTAAAAAATGTTAAATTTAAAATTTATTAGCTTGTGCTACTCAATGCAGTCATGAAATAATTTTATTCAATTGAATTAAGTTTTATTTATTGCAGGTGAACTTGAAAAGCTGAAGGCAGAGTGGCTTGCTCTGGAAGCTGAATGTGTTAAACTAAGGAAGGAAAATACTTTGCTTACATCTGAACTTCAGCGACAAGAGAAGGAGCTCTCTAGGTAAGGGCACCGTGGGTTTGTCTAGGAGGTACCATAGTAGCTGAAGAGTTTTGTTGGTGTTCTTTCCTCACAAGAGAGGTACTACATGTCTGAGGGTGTTTCAATAAATGCATTGAGATTTTATTTATATCAGAGTATTGGGCTGAACACTTCCATGTCAGTTGTTACCCCAAGTTATGTTTTTCTGTTTTACAAATGCTTTTGTCATGTTTTATCATCATAAGGTAACCCAACTTTGCTACTTTTAATAAGGGCTTGGAAGCATGCATTGTGGAAGAATTTAGACTTAACAGTTATCCTTCCACTTACAAGATAATAAACTACATGGATTTCCTAACCTCAAATTTTCTTAGTGTTTAGGGTGGAAAATGATTCCAAACAGTTGGGTGTCTCATGATAGCCTGTCACAGTATAAATAGTAATGGTGGGCAGAAACCATGTTCTAGATCACCTTTTCCTTAAGAGAAAAATATAAATCTTTTTTTATCACAGGTGGCATCATATCCTTTGGGAGGAGTTTTAGAGTGCAGGAGAATTTGTATTGTGCTGTATTTCTTTTGCTGTTTGAGAACATGACATTGCTCAAGGCCATCTAAATCTTCTGCTTGGAAACAACTTCCCCTCTTATCCCTTCATCTGCCTTCTTTGGTGGTTTTTTTTTTCAGTTTTAGATACTGGAATATAATTCACAGACTAAATATGGGACAACAACTTTGTTTTATTGTGGATCTGAATTTTACCATCATGCTTAGATATATGTGTGGTCTCTTTTCCCTTGTGGCTTCCTCAGTGTTGTAAGATCTAATTGAAAATGTCTCACAGTAAACATTCAAGAAGTAATGTATTATTTTTCAGTATTCAGACCTTTCTTTTTTGGTTCATTATGCCCTCATTTCTGTTTTTTGCATACACAAGGTCAGACGAGAAATTACAGGATTTGCATAATGGAAATATGCAGGATCTCTTCCTTATTTTTTTTCTTGCACAGGCATGAATTAACACTACTTGGCTATTACACTGATGTTTAATGGCCTAATTTTGAGCTCTCTGATTATTACCCAATTGTACTAAGCAGTTGAACATACTAGCTATTAACTTATGCAAGGGGAGTAAGCAGAAGCACATGTGCAAACAAGTGAAATGCTTTGAACAACCTTGAACAGACTTCTTATTACAAATTTGTTTCAAAATACTTTGGAGTATATAATAGCAAATACTTTGAGTAATGAAATGTAGAATAAGAAAATAAAATTAGTTATAACTTATTTAAATTATAAATTATGGTTAGTTATACACACTAAACTGTGGACATATATTTTAAAGCAAGATCGTGGCCAGCCTTTTGTGTCAGTACTGTGTACAAAGAGACAAAGATCTGTACTTCTGTTACTGCTCTAAGCTGATATTTACACATCAAAAATAATGTGTGAAGCTTTTGAGGATGAAAAGTGCTTGTTTAAGATGCCTAAGGAATCAATATTTTTGTTTTGCAGCTCTCAGAAACAGAGTTTAGCACTGACCAGCGATATAAGTGTTCTTGAAATGTCTCGAAAGGAACTTGAGAATCAGATGGGATCTTTGAGAGAAAAACATCAACGGGATGCAGCTAGTCTGAAAACTCAGCTCAGTGAAGCTGAGAGTCAAGCAAAAGACGTTCAGAAAGAGGTAACACAAAATACTGTTTCCATTTTGAGGGAATGTAATGCCCAATGACTGACTTTTCAGCTAAAAGAAAAGCAAAGGTTTTCTAGTACTAAAAAAGATTTCTAGTAATGAAATTTTTTCATAATTTTATTGCAAGCACTTAATGGTAGCTAAGAAAATATAAACTGGCAGTTAGATTTAAAAAGGAAGATTTCAGGTAAAATTACTTCTGTGTTCATTGGGACCTTCCTAAGCTTTACTTTGATGCATTACCCTAAGTGAATTTACTTTTAAGCTGTTCAGATGGGTAAATTCTTGTTCAGAGTCTTCTGAACATCATGGTCTAGAGTTTTATTAGCTGTTATGAGTCAAAATTGATTCTTTTTGAGTCAGTCTGATCTTTCTAGTTATATGAGTGGAACTAGACATTCTTTACAAAGATCTCCTTTCATCTTCCTGGATCATTGGCCTGCTGAAGATGACCTGCAAGTGCATAAGGGTCAGCATTTTGAGCATGTATTTCATCTGCCTGGCATCTAAGGATTGTCTGGAAGAAGGACATATTTTCCAACACTTGCTTCCTCTTAGAAGCATTTTGAGTGTTTCTCCAATCACTGCTCTTAGTTTCTTTTACAGTACTTTTCTTTGATAATTCATCCGTGTCACATTCCTTACAATTTTCAGAATTTCAAAAACCCAATCCTGTTAGTCTGTGTTTTTGTAATCAGATGTATTTGTAAAGATGCCTAATCTTCTAAATTTGTGGTAAATACCAGTACTGAAAGTCATTGATTCTGTCCCTGTCAGGAGGACTACTAGAAAGTTTGTGATCTCTAGAAAAAATGGAATGTGGGTTTGAAAAAGGAAAGTCTGTCCATCCTGTAGGAACATGTGTCACATTCACCCAGTACTGTTTGTAATTGACCCACACTGAGGATTATGGCACGACAGTACAAGGCATAATAATTTTTAATGCCTGCCTTATGTTTGAGTTTGCATTGTGGGAAGAGGTTTTGATTTACTTCATACAGAATGCTGATTTTTGCACCTATTTACTGGGTGTAGGGATTTCAGCTGCAGCCTAGATGTAAGACAACTATTCAAACGTGAAGGACTCCTTGTTCCCCTGTTTTTTGTTTTATCTTCCTGTTTTTTACAGTCCTTTCCAGTATGATAATGAATAATTGGTATAAGACATGAATTAAGGCCTTGCATTTACTTTGTATTTCCTTGGTTTTAGTAATCATAACCCTTCAAGTCAGGCAAAAATCTTCATTTAGGAAAAAAAGGGAAATCTAAACTCTACACTGCTTCTGTGAAAAAAGAGTGTACTGATCCAAGGCAAGTTATTCCAGGCAGATGACAGAAAAGGAAGCTGTGCACTGAGCAAATGTCAGCATGTGTTGGGTGTCCAGGGGTCCACAGACTGTTCTCTCTTTGTCTTTAGTATGAAAGAACACAGACTGTGCTCTCAGAACTGAAGGCAAAGTATGAGGTGGCTGAGCAGGAGAAGCAGTCACTCACAGAAGAGCTCAAACAGTGTAAAGAGAACCTGAAGCTGCTACAAGAAAAAGGAAACAACGTAAGTCTGTACAAAATGTGTGGGGAAGTCAGATTATGACACTGACAGTCCTGTTGATTGAAGGAATATGGAAGAGTCAAATAGAAAAGGATGGACTTTAAAAAAAAAAAGGCTGTGTACTCTATTTTATATATATATGCATATATATATATGCAAAATTCCATTCTGGTCCTACCTGTGCAAATTTGCAGGTCATTACACTGTTACAGTTACACATGAAAGTTCAATTTACAGTCGTGTGACAGGTTTAGGTATGTCCTTAGAGATATCTGCTCTCTTGAAAACATATGACTTAAATGCTAGTGAACCAGAACTAAGGAAAACTCTTTGACTTCAAAATATGATACAGGGGTAAAAGCTTAGAAACCTGTATCCAAATGAATTAAGCAACCTTTTTCAAGATGCTTTTTGTTTTCTTAGTGTTTATTACGATGGGTGTTCCCTCCTTACTCTTGCTCATTCTTCTTAACTGGTTATTCCTGATGGGCTCATGCTTTAAACAGGACAGTAGAACTGTCCTTTCTATCCACTAATGAAAATACTGTTTTCTGTTGCAATTAATTTGAGAGGTTGTGTCATTAGAACTGAGTTTACAGCTAGAGACAACTGGGTTTTTTTTATACTGAGATTCTGAAATCCTCCAAACATTAGGGGTGTGGCAGACACTTTATAAGGGGGGTCATGGCCTTATCTTTAGGTACCTTACTACCCTGGGAGGGCTGGTTTCTTGTCTTCCTTTGCTGCCTCTGTGGTCACTGCAGGGTGAACAACTCCTGTAGTGGACAGTACAAAAGAGGAGAATAATGAGTGCTCTGTAATAACCTTTTAGAAAACTGGTTTTTTTACTACAAAGAAATTTTACAGTACCCTATCCTCTAAAATCAACTGACTCCTAGATGCCCAAAAGTTTGTATGAATACCCTTGCCATAATCAGTTCCTCAATATAAACCTCTAACATCGCAGAGCTGTCAAAGATGTAAAGAATTCAAAGCCCTTCTCACTTCTTTCAGCCATATTTTCAGAAATGTGATTTTATAATGTTATAATTCTCTTGGAACCTGATTCTTGCTCAGAACTCTTCTGCAGTGCTCGGATAATACTGAGTTACTTAAGTAGGCAGAAGTCAAAAACAGCCAGCAAAAAACCCCACTCCATTTTAGTAGAAGAGAACACACTGAATAAATAATAGTGAATGTGAGATTTTCTGCTCTGTTAAAAACATTAACCTCAGAATTAAAATGATCAGTGGAAAAGGGTGATAGTAGAGGGAAGACATACTGTGAAGGGAGTTGTTGCACCTGATGACAGTGGAAACGCTTGTAAGGTAAAGGAAATTTTAGGAAGAATTAAAGGTAAGTAAATGAAATCAGGAATCAAAGCAGTTGCCAAAATCTGCTTCCAGAGGAGGAATTAGTTATGACAGTTGAAACCTGGAGGTCAGGGTATGATGAAGAGCATCCAGCCATATAAGGGCTTGCAGGACAAACTCGCTGTTGAGCAAACATTGCTCCCCGTCAGTAATGTAAAACATGTCCATCTTGGGGATTATTTCAAACATTGTGGATACTGGGCTGAGTTCCAAGTCAAATTTTTGAAGTACCATTGTCCCCTTTTGCTGGAATCATTATCTGCTACTTCATTTCCAAGGAACAGAAAGTGGATTCCCACTGTGGGATTTGTTCCTTTTTGCAGCCCATCTGTGTCTGAGTTTGCATATCTTCATATTCTAATACAAGATGCACATTTTTGTTAAAGCACCTAGTTAAGTGCTCCTTGACAATAAGAAGATTTGTTATATATTGATAAGTTTTTGAGGGGAAAAATTTAATCATTTGGAGACAATTCCATTGGATGCAGTGGATATTCATCACCGGTTTCATTTGCCGAGATGCCGCAGCCACGAATGTGTGTAACTTACCAAAAAAGTAAATCCATAGACTTGTTCAGTGAACTAACAAATGTTAGAAAAGACAAGGCTTTTGTACTCCATTTGGGATGTCATTTAAATTTAAAGTTTTTATACTTCAGTTTTACTTTTAAGAAACTTGCAGTGTTGTGTTCTTGACACGCTTAGCAGTGTGGTGTACTACTCGTGCTTGCATGCTTATGGTCACTGGTTATTTCCTGATGCGCTTCATACGACAGATTTAATGATGTTAATGGTTTGAGAACATCAGCTGCTCTGGTTGATTTAAACTTCTGGCACTTTTGTGAACACTGCTGTGATTATTTCTGCCAACGTGCTTTCTGTGGGAAGGTGGCACTGTGATTTGTGGCACCAGTGACACAAAAATAATCCTGCATGAAAATTACTTCGATAGTTACACATAATTTTTCTGTTAAATATTTGCCTTGATTGAAAAAAAAAAGTGATTGAATGGCAGAGACTAGAATGCCTTCTAATATTCCTGTATTTTGAACCATATTGGAGGTTCTATGATTAAGTGACTTCTGCAAATTCATAACAGGATGAGATTTGATTTATGAATCACAATGTTATAGAAAATTCAATCATGAACTTATTATTTGTTTATTTATTTGACTGAACAAAAATCAAGGTAGCTTCAGCACAAAAAAAAGTTTTAAAAATATTTGGCATGGTTTGAACTTACCCCCGTGTGTCTTTGTGTGTGCACAAATATGTAGGCTAGGATACAGAGAAAGCAGATGTCTTCCAAGGACAGCTTAAAAAAAGTTTAGGTCCATTTTTGCTTTTAATTTATCGTATCATGGATAGAGGCTGTCCATCCAGAACGTGCAGTAGTTTACAGCTAATTGAACATAGCTGAGAAAACGTGTGGCTGGTTCTAAGGAGGCCATAAGCTGAAGGAACCCTGCAGGCTGGTCAGCTGGAGTTTGGCCCAGCTGCAGCATTTGATCCATTTTCAGAATTGCATTTGGTCACAAGGCTGCTGACCTGGCAGAGATGCTGAGCTTTGTGGTATCTCTGATGGAAATGTGCTTCTCTGCTTCATAGTAACTGAGTGTTGATTGTACAGTCATGTTACAATCTCACGGAAATGTCTGAACGACTGGGTTTGCCTGTGGACATAGTTAATTGACTCACTAATGGAGGAAAAAGATTGTTTTTCCTGGAGGCTGGTGATGGAAAATGGGAAAGGCTAACTAGCAAGGAATGAAGAAATACCTGAAAAATTCAAAATCTGGTGTGAGTCTATCTACCTCAAGAAATCCAGTTGGGATTTCCTCTCACTTAGAAAAACTAAAACCAACTATAAATAAGATACAGGCAAATCAGTTTAAGATTTGTATTGTTTTCAAGTGCTAAATTCCAAGTTGTGACAAGAGGTTTCTTGGAACATTTTCTGCTTACTTCCCTTTATTTTTAAACATCCCTGTTCATTTGAGTAGAATGGTGTACTAACTTTGTATACCAGATTAGATAATGCTGTAATGTGTTAGATGTCTTTTAATACATTTCAATTAAAACAAAACTTACTGACTTATTTCCCCCCCCTCTAAATCATCTTTACCTGATTGATTTTATAGCACAAAGTGATTTTTAATATCCCTTCCCTTCTTTAGCCTTCCATATTACAACCCGTCCCAGCCGTATTCATCGGCCTAATCCTGGCTTTCCTGTATTGGTGTTACGGCCCATTGTGGTAGCGAAAGGTACAAGCACTACTGTTCAGTCAATGTATGTTTGTCCCTCTCACCTGTTTGTGCCATTTCTGTATGAAATTCTGCATGGTTCAAATGCTCACAGGTATTTCTTTACCTGAAGCAAACCCTTCATTTAATATGCCATTCTGTTGATACCGATGAGCTGAGCGATCAACTAATCATTTAACATCTATGTGATTTCTTTAATTCTAACAATTAATTTCATCCTAACTGGTTCTGAATGTGCCTCTTCTAACTCGGTCTCAGTTTGTCTTTAGCAAATGGGCTGCCTTTTGCACAATGCTGTGATGCTAGGGCTTGTAAGAAAACTTAATTGCTTGATTAACTATGGAAAATGAAGAGTTTGCCTCTAATAACAAAAAACAACAAGCTTTGGTTCCTACCTATGGACTAAGAAATTCCACTCTGGCTCTAAACACTTTAATTTCTCTCACTATTGCTGATGGAAAGATGGAAAAAAAGATGAGAAATAGGTGGTTGGTTTGTATTCTGAACTCTCAGCTTGCATTTTCTCTAATGTCTCTCAGTGTGTCCTCCTCTTGAAATGCCATTGTTGTCATGCAATGTTGTGACAGTCCGTTTAAAAATGATGTTGTTAGGATCTGCTCCAAACTAACGTCACAGATCTGGATTTGAACATGCCAAAGTTAAAGATGCAGTACTGAATAAACCTGTGTCTAGTGATGACTTGGCACAAACCATGTTTCAAACACCTCAAGCTCTCGCATGTTTAAGAGCAGATTTCTGAGGTGCCTACACTAAGGAACCTGGGAATTCGGAGCTGCCAAACGTTCTCCTGCTGATCCTCAGTCCTGAAGAGTTGTGGAGTTCCCTGTGCTAGAGAACACGGTTTGCTGTGATGCTCCAAGTCAGGACTAGCCTGCAGCAGGGCTCGTGGGTAACATTGTAGTGATGCCTATCGACAGGTACTCAAGACTTTCAGGAACCACGAGGTAAACTGATCAGTATGAACTAGAACAGATATGATATTGATTTCTTTTTTCTCTCCACACAGAGACAATGGCCTTGGATGCCTGTGATGGCAGCTTTGGTTGCTGTAACAGCCGTGGTGCTGTACCCAGGCCTAACCAGAGCTTCTCCATGAGAACTGTTGTTGAATCCATACACCGTCCTCCCTTTAGAAGCTGGCAACATTCATATACTGAGGGAAAACAGATTAATTCTCTTCCTTTTTACCTCTTAATACAGCACAGCTCTGCGTGAGAACAGCAGTAGGGTCATTTGCTTTAAACTGTATAAAATGTATCTGTCTATAAAGAGGGAATAAAATTGTGATTCATCATACTGTGAGCAATATTTTTGCTTACAACTTCATGCAAGTTTTAAATTAGTATGTTGGGGTTCTGAATACTATAATGGTGGCCTAAAGTAGGCTTCTTGGTACCAAATTATTTATAATGGCTAGGGTTGTGGACACTGACTTTAGAATCTGATTGCCAGAAATAAGAGGAAAATACATTTCTGATTTGGACATCCAAGCCAAGTAACTTTGCAGATACTTGGGAAACAGATGCAGTGTGCTCAGTGCCTTTCAGTATGATCTATTTTTTTTTAACTAGTATATCATTTCCTTGCTGTTAGTCACTGAGCTGTTGGGAACAAGACTTTAAGAAAACTTCTCTTACCACGCCTTTCGAAGGAAGCATATTTTTCTTTGATAAGGATTGCTTTATTAATGGGTTTGGGGAATAAACACAATTCATGTCCAGCCTTAAAGAGATAGAGATATTGATGGTGAAGACCAGCCTAAAGTATTTAGTGTGCGCGAGTGCGAGTGTAGCATGTGTGTGTTCTTGAGTGAACTGAGGTGTTTCTGGGAGCAAGTACTTGGTCATTTGATGGACATAGTGCAGTGATTCAACTTACGTTAACTTTAGTTTGAATGTAATTTATTAAATTTCATATATTTAAAGAGATACGTTCTTTAAAAGTATGAATACCTTCTCACATATCACACGTATCAGTTTATTTTTTCAGTCATTTGATACTCTCTGACTTGAGCTGGAGAAGCTCTTTAGATAAGCTTTTGTTGACGTAACTTTATTAAGAGAACTGCTACAGTATGTCTGTGATTAGCTGAAAACATCTAAGATACATAAAATACTACGAAATTGGAATCATATGCCTGCTGAAGTATTGTCAGGTGAAGATGATTTTAATTTGGTAGTAAAATTTTGTGCATCCTCATCACATGGCTGTAAGTATGATGCAGTGGTCCCCATTACAAAGTTGATTTTCCTTATCTAAGTACTATAACTATTGCTATTTGCTGACTTTTGGTGGGAATCACTGTAGTTAGTGCTGAATTAAATGTAGACTGTAGTTGTCTTGTTCAGCTCAACAGTTCTGTCAAAAAAGTTTATTAAAGACTTAAATAATATGCTAAAGAATGGTAAAGTAAAAGGAAACTTCAAAATAGGGAGGTAATCTCAGCAATTCAATTGGCTTTAAAGGATGTTATGGCAATCGACAGATAGTTTAAATAATTAAATAGAAATTTAGCATATAATTTACTTTGTGAGGTTTTAAGGGTCATTGTCCTTTAATTAAAGGTTCTATCTTAAGTTACATGGGATTTGCTAATGGGAGGATTATTAGTTGGAAAAAGTAGTCCACAAGTGACTTGTAGAAAATAAATATTGTCATTTAGTTCATTCATTTCATCCTTTTCAGTTGCAGGAAGCCACCCAACCACAGAACACTCGTATGCCAGTGGTACTTAGTACCTCTTGTATATAGGTTATTGCAAATATTGTTCTGAAATGCTTAACTTCAGAATTACATTTTTTAAAGTAAATAATTGTTTTAAATCTATTTTGTAAAGATATAAAAATACAATAGAATTTCTGGAGTACAGATTAAACTATTTGCACTAACACACGTGATGTGCATGATTTAATAAAATAACTTTACTCTCCCTATGCATGTTTGAGTTGAATGTCATTTGAAAACAAGAGATTCATGCTAAGTTTCTTTTGCACTAGATACTGCCACAGTTATAGGCACAATGTCTGCAGCATGTCCAGTAGAAGCAAAAGACTTTTTTTTTTTTTTTACTTTGTATTTCACATTTGCACTGGTTTTAAGTTTTTGTCTGGCTGATCCCTCTCCTGTTTGTGGTTTTCAGAAAGACATGGGGTAGGAGAGAGCCGTGGAAGGCTTAGGAGCATATTTCCATGGGGGAGGAAAAAGGTGTTCAGAGCTGAAGGGTGGCTGTGCCTGTGGCAGGGTGGTGAGATGGGAGGAGCAGTGGCTGCAGGTCCTGGGTAATAGAGGAAAAAAGCCCTGCTGGGGGAAGGGACCTGATGCTGCCTCCTCACTTATTCAGCATCTCAAACTCTCTGTTTGTCCCTCTTTCAGCTACTGTTTCTTTTTCAGTGGATTCTCTTCTCTCCACCCTGCATGTAGACATGGTGTGAGGAGGTGGAGTGGAGCCTGGTGGAGCAGGGGTCCCTCCTGCCTGGCAGCAGGGAAGGTGCCAAGTTCCCTGGGAACAGCTGGGAGGGACCTGAACTGCAGCAATGCTGCCTGGGACACAAGTTTGTTCATGTATTGAAGACTAATGTTGAGTTTTCAGAAATCTTTAGAGCATCAGAGAGCTGCAGCTTGAGACCCAGCGTGGTTGTATTAAGGCAGAAATATTTCTAATCTCATTCTGTGCATGTGTGCATATTTATATACACATAGTACACATTGCATGGGGGTTTATGCTTACAAATATACCTGTGGTTCCCTAATACAGTGCCTTTCCCAGGAGTTCTTGACAATTGCATGTTCAAAATGATGAGGAATGAGCTAAAATGCACAGTTCACTCTTATGTTGTGAAAATCCCTGGAGAAGGGTTGGGTAACTGGGAAGCTGCTCTTCTTCAGTGCTTTGATACTAAAACAGCAAGTGGAGTTATTTTGCAAGCACTCCTTGCACAATTCTTTCTGTTTTTTCGTTGCTTTTTTTAAATGGTAAATATGTGTGTTCTTTTACATTCAAATTTAGGTTCTTTCTTCTGTGAGGCTTGATTAGCTAAGCCCTGGAGTTACTGTAATGAGCAACTTTTCACAGGTGTAAGATGCTCTACTTGTAAAACAAGTGCTCTGAGCTTGCACTGAAGTTTGAGGTTTTAAAAAGGTTCCTCATACTAGAAAAGTTAGAGAGTTGTTTTATCAGTTGCTAATTCAATTTGGAAGATTTACTGTAATAGAATATCTGAACACTTCTTCAGGTTTGTCCTGGTGTCCTGACTGAGGCACCTTTTTTAAATTCTAAAAGAATTCTACCTACACAGGGACTACAATAGCAGGCCTTTTATTTAAAAATATATAGTATGTAAAAAAAGAAAATATAGTGTGGTTTTTCCTGTTCCTTGTAGCTGAATTAAACACATTCTTCCAGAGTCTTAGCCTCATCCTTCTTGCAGAATCTCTGGATTTTTTGGTGCTAAATGGAGAATTGGGAGCCTGCACAGTATATTGCCAAGTGTTCTCATAAAACAGCGAGACTTAGTATCAAATGACTGATGGTTGAAGCAAAGGTAATCACCTGTGCATGTATTTTTGGAGTATATTCCTAAGTTATTTTTCTAAAGTATATTACCTGTTCCAGAATTTCAGTGTGCTTTACGTAAGATTTTGAATGTCTCCTGCCTTAATCCATAGGGTTCTACCACTTGCAAGAATAATTTCTTCAGCTTGAATCTTCTCCATGACAAAACCACTGCCGAATTCATTCCACCAGCAGCATCTGAGTGCTTTAAAACACCAGGTCACCACAATGGCTTTTAGGAAGCCACTGTCTTTTGCACTGGCTCTGCAACTGGGGCTGGCTGGGTTTCACCTCCCCTCAGGCTGTTCATCCACCATTAGTGTTTCATTAGCAACTGTCTCAAGACTTTGAGTCTCCATTTTTAATAGCAATGGATCATATAAAAGAATTACAAGCCATATTCTTTCCTTCTCTCTTGCGTATGCCT